TCTTCATAGTCCCAGCAGGAGGCCAGTCCCTGTGCTCTTCATAGTCCCAGCAGGAGGCCAGTCCCTGTGCTCTTCATAGTCCCAGCAGGCCAGTCCCTGTGCTCTTCATAGTCCCAGCAGGCCAGTCCCTGTGCTCTTCAGAGTCCCTGCAGACCAGTCCCTGTGCTCTTCATAGTCCCAGCAGGAGGCCAGTCCCTGTGCTCTTCATAGTCCCAGCAGGCCAGTCCCTGTGCTCTTCATAGTCCCTGGAGACCAGTCCCTGTGCTCCTCAGTGTTGGTTCATTTGGCACTAACATGTCATAGTTGTACTTTGGTGCGAGGCCCTGGGGAGACAAGTATCAAGCAGAGACCTGAGACCAGGACTAATGTGAGAGGACTCCAGGACAGAGACCTGAGACCAGGACTAATGTGAGAGGACTCCAGGACAGAGACCTGAGACCAGGACTAATGTGAGAGGACTCCAGGACAGAGACCTGAGAGGACTCCAGGACAGAGACCTGAGACCAGGACTAATGTGAGAGGACTCCAGGACAGAGACCTGAGACCAGGACTAATGTGAGAGGACTCCAGGACAGAGACCTGAGACCAGGACTAATGTGAGAGGACTCCAGGACAGAGACCTGAGAGGACTCCAGGACAGAGACCTGAGACCAGGACTAATGTGAGAGGACTCCAGGACAGAGACCTGAGACCAGGACTAATGTGAGAGGACTCCAGGACAGAGACCTGAGAGGACTCCAGGACAGAGACCTGAGACCAGGACTAATGTGAGAGGACTCCAGGACAGAGACCTGAGACCAGGACTAATGTGAGAGGACTCCAGGACAGAGACCTGAGAGGACTCCAGGACAGAGACCTGAGACCAGGACTATTGTGAGAGGACTCCAGGACAGAGACCTGAGAGGACTCCAGGAAAGAGACCTGAGACCAGGACTAATGTGAGAGGACTCCAGGACAGAGACCTGAGAGGACTCCAGGACAGAGACCTGAGACCAGGACTAATGTGAGAGGACTCCAGGACAGAGACCTGAGACCAGGACTAATGTGAGAGGACTCCAGGACAGAGACCTGAGAGGACTCCAGGACAGAGACCTGAGACCAGGACTAATGTGAGAGGACTCCAGGACAGAGACCTGAGAGGACTCCAGGACAGAGACCTGAGACCAGGACTAATGTGAGAGGACTCCAGGACAGAGACCTGAGAGGACTCCAGGACAGAGACCTGAGACCAGGACTAATGTGAGAGGACTCCAGGACAGAGACCTGAGACCAGGACTATTGTGAGAGGACTCCAGGACAGAGACCTGAGAGGACTCCAGGAAAGAGACCTGAGACCAGGACTAATGTGAGAGGACTCCAGGACAGAGACCTGAGACCAGGACTAATGTGAGAGGACTCCAGGACAGGTCAGATCTTGTTTTGTTCTGAACACAGCGGTTGTAAAAGTCTGTTTGAAAGGAGCTGAGTTTGTGCAGATTGAGCACTTCCTGTTTGTCACATGACCCACCCACAGAGGAAGTGCTTCCTGTGACCAGATTCCGCTGCAGCAAAAACAAACACAACCATGTGTTTTTAGGTCAGAGCTGTTTTCAAACCGTGACATCAGTCTGTTCTGCTGTTATGCTCTGTCCAAAACAACAGTCACTGCTCCTGTTCGTCTGTGTTTCTGTCTGTGCTTTATCCGTGTCATTATATTACACAATCCTCTTTAATTTTGTGTGTTCAACCTTTAACGCCATTTATTTGAATCTAAAACTCAAACTAAGCCATTTTTGTGTCACTTTGAAACCTCTCTCGCCCTTGTCTCCTCTCTCTGGTTTCTCTTTGGGCTCTCTCCTGTCTCTCTGGTCTCCTCTCCCCTCTCTCCTCTCTCCTCTCCCTCTCCTCTCTCTCCTCTCCCTCTCCTCTCTCTTCTATCTGCTCTCTTTCTGGTCTCCCTGGTCTCTACTCTCTCTGTTTTCTCTCCTCTCCTTCCCTTCTCTCTGCTCTCTCTTTCTGGTCTCTCTTATCTCTCCCCTCTCTCCTCTCCTTGCCTTCTCTGCTCTCTCTGGTATCTCCTCTCCCTCTCCTCTCCCTCTCCTCTCCCTCTCCTCCTCTCCCTCCTCTCCCTCCTCTCCCTCTCCTCTCCCTCTCCTCTCCCTCTCCTCCTCTCCCTCCTCTCCCTCTCCCTCTCCCTCTCCCTCTCCTCTCCTCCTCTCTCCTCTCTCCTCTCCTCCCTCCTCTCCCTCTCCCTCTCCTCTCCCTCTCCTCTCCTCCTCTCCCTCCTCTCCCTCTCCCTCTCCCTCTCCCTCTCCTCTCCTCCTCTCTCCTCCTCTCCCTCCTCTCCCTCTCCCTCTCCTCTCCCTCTCCTCTCCCTCTCCTCTCCCTCTCCTCTCCTCCTCTCTCCTCCTCTCTCCCTCCCCTCTCTCCTCTCCTCTCCCTCTCCTCTCCCTCCTCTCTCTCCTCTCCCTCTCCTCTCCCTCTCCTCTCCTCCTCTCTCCTCCTCTCCCTCCTCTCCCTCTCCCTCTCCCTCTCCTCTCCTCCTCTCTCCTCCTCTCCTCTCCTCTCCTCCTCTCTCCCTCTCCTCTCCCTCTCCTCCTCTCCCTCCTCTCCCTCCTCTCTCTCTGCTCCGGTTTGACGCTTCTGTCTCTTGTGTACATGGGAAGGCTCGGCGCATGTGCTCGCCTCCGATTGGCCGCCCGCTATAAGGATGATGTCACTGCTGTAAAAGTGGGAGGGGGAGGATGGAAAGGAGGGAGAAGAGCAAGAGGAGGGAGGGGATGGAAAGGCGGGAGGGAGAGCAGAGAGAAGGGAAGGAGAGGAGGAGAGGAGAGAGGGAGAGCAGAGAGAAGGGAAGGAGAGGAGGAGAGGAGAGAGGGAGAGCAGAGAGAAGGGAAGGAGAGGAGGAGAGGAGAGAGGGAGAGCAGAGAGAAGGGAAGGAGAGGAGGAGAGGAGAGAGGGAGAGCAGAGATCCCGATTGAAAGCCCCGAGCAGCTCTGGGAACCTCTGGGAGAGAGGATGGAGGAGGCTACAGTTTTGCTCTGATCAAAGACCCTCAGTGTTTACATGAGCTCGAGCCTTAAGGAGGATTACCCCAAAAAGGCACATAGTGACTGGGATCCACAGACTATTAAGTGAATCGATAATTGTGATTATTAGGTCTGTTGTCGACCCAAAATATACACAAAATATGCAATAACATTCGTCTGAACCTTTCATACAGATGCTACATGCTAACACAGACTGTATACAGATGCTACATGCTAACACAGACTGTATACAGATGCTACATGCTAACACAGACTGTATACAGATGCTACATGCTAACACAGACTGTATATAGATGCTACATGCTAACACAGACTGTATACAGATGCTACATGCTAACACAGACTGTATACAGATGCTACATGCTAACACAGACTGTATACAGATGGACAATGCTAACCCGCTAGCTCAATGAAGTGCAATAGAGAAGAGCTCATGGGTGAAGTTTGGCTCCTCTCTCTGGCTCCTATTGACTTACACGTAAAAGTAAACTCCTCTAACTCAATAATAGTAATTACCATTTTGGGCTTAGAGAGTCAAAAATGGTCTCTCTCCTCTCTAGTCTCTCTCTCTTCCTCTCTGTCCTCTTTCTCCATGTTTCTTTTTTTCCTTTCTCCCTGGTCTCTCTTTCTATCTTTGCTCTCTCCTCTCTTTTATCTGTTCTCTGTGCTCTCCTCTCTCTGCTCTCCTCTCTCTGGTTTCTCCCTGGTCTCCCTCTCTCCTCTCTCTCCTCTCCCTCTCTCCTCTCTCTGGTTTCTCCCTGGTCTCCCTCTCTCTGGTTTCTCCCTGGTCTCCCTCTCTCTGGTTTCTCCCTGGTCTCTCTCTCTCTCCTCTCCTCTCTCTCCCTCTCTCCTCTCTCTGGTTTCTCCCTGGTCTCTCTCTCCTCTCCTCTCCTCTCTCTCCCTCTCTCCTCTCCCTCTCTCTGGTTTCTCCCTGGTCTCTCTCTCTTCCCCTCTCTTGGCAGACTCGTTCCTCTCCCTTAACCTGTGTGTCTTTATGAAGCCTCCAGACTTCACAACAGGAGCCTTTGAACTGAGGGAAAACCCATTATCTCTGCACGCGCCTTTGTGTCGGCTGTTGCCAGAACTCTGCTCCTCCCCCTCGGCCTGTCCCCCAATACGCACTCCCCCCTCTGCCCACAGACACACACTGGCTCCCAGAATCCACTTTCATATTCATATTCTAAAAACAACAAAGAAAAATTACTTTAAGATGCTTCAATAGAGAGACTAGAGAGAGGGAGAGACCGGAGAGAGGGAGGGAGAGACCGGAGAGAGAGAGGGAGAGACCGGAGAGAGAGAGGGAGAGACCAGAGAGAGGGAGAGAGACACCAGAGAGAGAGAGAGAGAGGGAGAGAGGGAGGGAGAGACCAGAGAGAGGGAGAGAGACACCAGAGAGAGGGAGAGACCAGAGAGAGAGGGAGAGACCAGAGAGAGAGAGAGAGTGATGGGGATAAGAGAGAGACCAGAGATACTGGTTCCATTCATAAAGATTGAAGATTCACTTTTTACATATTCATATTCTAAAAACAACAAAGAAAAATTACTTTAAGATGCTTCAATAGAGAGACTAGAGAGAGGGAGAGACCGGAGAGAGGGAGGGAGAGACCGGAGAGAGAGAGGGAGAGACCGGAGAGAGAGAGGGAGAGACCGGAGGGAGAGAGAGAGGGAGAGACCGGAGAGAGAGAGGGAGAGACCAGAGAGAGGGAGGGAGAGACCGGAGAGAGAGAGGGAGAGACCGGAGAGAGAGAGGGAGAGACCGGAGAGAGAGAGGGAGAGACCAGAGAGAGGGAGGGAGAGACCGGAGAGAGAGAGGGAGAGACCGGAGAGAGAGAGGGAGAGACCAGAGAGAGGGAGAGACCAGAGAGAGGGAGAGACCAGAGAGAGGGAGAGACCAGAGAGAGGGAGAGACCGGAGAGAGAGAAGACACAAAGACACACAGGCCACGTCTGAACTGAAGCTTTATGTTACTGATCAATACGGACACTCCGCTCTGCTCCTCCCGCTCTGCTCCTCCCGCTCTGCTCCTCCCGCTCTGCTCCTCCCGCTCTGCTCCTCCCGCTCTGCTCCTCCCGCTCTGCTCCTCCCGCTCTGCTCCCCCCGCTCTGCTCCTCCCGTCTGCTCCTCCCCCCGCTCTGCTCCTCCCTCTCTGCTCCTCCCGTCTGCTCCCCCCGCTCTGCTCCTCCTCTCTGCTCTCCTCCCGCTCTGCTCCTCCCGCTCTGCTCCTCCCGCTCTGCTCCTCCCGCTCTGCTCCTCCCGCTCTGCTCCTCCCGCTCTGCTCCCCCCGCTCTGCTCCTCCCGCTCTGCTCCTCCCGCTCTGTCCGCTCGCTCTGCTCCTCCCGCTCTGCTCCTCCCGCTCTGCTCCTCCCGTCTGCTCCCCCGCTCTGCTCCTCCCGCTCTGCTCCTCCCGCTCTGCTCCTCCCGCTCTGCTCCTCCCGCTCTGCTCCTCCCGCTCTGCTCCTCCCGCTCTGTCCGCTCGCTCTGCTCCTCCCGCTCTGCTCCTCCCGCTCTGCTCCTCCCGCTCTGCTCCTCCCGCTCTGCTCCTCCCGCTCCTGCTCCTCCCGCTCTGCTCCTCCCGCTCTGCTCCTCCCGCTCTGCTCCTCCCTCTCTGCTCCTCCCGCTCTGCTCCTCCCGCTCTGCTCCTCCCGCTCTGCTCCTCCCGCTCTGCTCCTCCCGCTCTGCTCCTCCCGCTCTGCTCCTCCCGCTCTGCTCCTCCCGCTCTGCTCCTCCCTCTCTGCTCCTCCCGCTCTGCTCCTCCCGCTCTGCTCCTCCCGCTCTGCTCCTCCCGCTCTGCTCCTCCCGCTCTGCTCCTCCCGCTCTGCTCCTCCCGCTCTGCTCCTCCCGCTCTGTCCGCTCGCTCTGCTCCTCCCGCTCTGTCCGCTCGCTCTGCTCCTCCCGCTCTGCCCTCCCGCTCTGCTCCTCCCGCTCTGCTCCTCCCGCTCTGCTCCTCCCGCTCTGGTCCTCCCGCTCTGCTCCTCCCGCTCTGCTCCTCCCGCTCTGCTCCTCCCTCTCTGCTCCTCCCTCTCTGCTCCTCCCGCTCTGCTCCTCCCGCTCTGCTCCTCCCGCTCTGCTCCCCCCGCTCTGCTCCTCCCGCTCTGCTCCTCCCGCTCTGTCCGCTCGCTCTGCTCCTCCCGCTCTGCTCCTCCCGCTCTGCTCCTCCCGTCTGCTCCCCCCGCTCTGCTCCTCCCGCTCTGCTCCTCCCGCTCTGCTCCTCCCGCTCTGCTCCTCCTGCTCTGCTCCTCCCGCTCTGCTCCTCCCGCTCTGTCCGCTCGCTCTGCTCCTCCCGCTCTGCTCCTCCCGCTCTGCTCCTCCCGCTCTGCTCCTCCCGCTCTGCTCCTCCCGCTCTGCTCCTCCCGCTCTGCTCCTCCCGCTCTGCTCCTCCCGCTCTGCTCCTCCCGCTCTGCTCCTCCCGCTCTGCTCCTCCCGCTCTCCTCCTCCCTCTCTGCTCCTCCCTCTCTGCTCCTCCCTCTCTGCTCCTCCCGCTCTGCTCCTCCCGCTCTGCTCCTCCCGCTCTGCTCCTCCCGCTCTGCTCCTCCCGCTCTGCTCCTCCCGCTCTGCTCCCCCCGCTCTGCTCCTCCCGCTCTGCTCCCCCCGCTCTGCTCCTCCCGCTCTGCTCCTCCCGCTCTGCTCCTCCCGCTCTGTCCGCTCGCAACGCGGCTATCGCAGGTGATGTCATCTTTTAGACCGGGTTCCCCTCCCCTCTCTCCCTCTCTCCCGCTCTCTCTCTCTCGTCCATTAGCGGCTGCTTCGCTCGCTCAGTCCCGATTGGGAGCGGGGGAGAGCGGCCGGCGTGAGGAGAAGCATCCGGAGCAGTTTTGCAGCAGGGGCGCAGAGCAGGCACTGGCCCCCGCGATGGATGCGCTCTGGGGGGAGACGCCAACCCGGCTGCAGAGGATCTGTGGAGCCTTCACCAACCAGGAGTGGGATATTTGAAGGAGTTTTTGCAAGATATTTTACAGTGCATTTTGGAGGATCTAAACTGGACAAGAGAGAGCAAGAAAGAGCAGAGAGAGACTAGAAATAGTCCAGATTAGCAAGACTGAAGAGAGAGACTCCAGAGAGAGAGCAGATTCATTAGTTTTTGCAAGATATTTTACAGTGCATTTTGCATTTTGGAGGATCTAAACTGGGCGAGAGAGACCACAAATTGCCCAGAGAGAGACTAGTGAGAGAGTGATTAGCGAGAGACCAGAGAGAGACCCCAGAGAGAGAGAGACCCCAATTTTTGACAGTGCGTTTTGAAGGATCCATACACCAGAGACTCTGTGATCAAGTTGAATTGCTAACTTGTGTTCTGACATCTTTAATCAGGATTTATGCTGTTTTTTTAGATTTGAAACCTTAAACATAACCTGGATTTTTGCACAAATGGGACTGTCCTGTGTCTGGAACCTGCAGTCGACCTGTTAGCTGTCGTTACGTTTGGATTATTTCACCTTTTTATCACCTCGTTTTTGCCTCTGGCTTCTGCATCTCCAGCTGCAAACACACACCAGTGCTTTGAAGTTGTCCTAATTGCTTCTCGTTTTAATCTTGCACAATCTGGAGCCTGGGATCTAACTTCTTCTTGCTCTGAACTTACTGCCCATACCCTGCGCCATCCCCCCCCCCCCCCCCCCCCCCCCCACACCCTCCCCAAAATGTTCCCCCCGAACGTGAACTACTTAGAGTTTCTCAGGTCTTTGCAGCGTCGCGTCCTCTGCACACCTCCCTTCGCGTTCCCTCCTTTTTTTTGGAGAATCTGATTAATTTTCGCCCCTTGAGCAAAACGAGTGGAATCCTCCCTCGCTCCCGCCCCGTCGGTGAAGATGGCTTTCCTGGTCCGTTGCTATGCCAACTGCCTCCAGCCCTGGTCCTCCAAAGTAAGCGATGTCGTAATGTTTTTGCTGCTGCTGCTGCGAGAGAGAGGAGAGAACGGAGAGCGCAGAGAGAGAGACCAGAGAGACAAGAGAGAGACCAGAGAGACCAGAGAGACCAGAGAGAGACCAGAGAGAGACGAGAGAGAGACGAGAGAGAGACGAGAGAGGGAGACGAGAGAGGGAGACGAGAGAGGGAGACGAGAGAGGGAGACGAGAGAGCGAGAGAGGGAGACGAGAGAGGGAGACGAGAGAGGGAGACCGAGAGAGGGAGACGAGATGAGGGAGACGAGAGAGGGAGACGAGAGAGGGAGACGAGAGAGGGAGACGAGAGAGGGAGACGAGAGAGGGAGACGAGAGAGAGGAGACGAGAGAGGGAGACGAGAGAGGGAGACGAGAGGGAGACGAGAGAGAGACGAGAGAGAGACAGAGGGAGACGAGAGGGAGACGAGAGGGAGACGAGAGGGAGACGAGAGGGAGACGAGAGGAGAGACGGAGAGAGAGACGAGAGAGGGAGACGAGAGGGAGAACGAGAGGGAGACGAGAGGGAGACGAGAGGGAGACGAGAGGGAGACGAGAGGGAGACGAGAGAGAGACGAGAGAGAGACGAGAGAGAGACGAGAGAGAGACGAGAGAGAGACGAGAGAGAGACGAGAGAGAGACGAGAGAGAGACGAGAGAGAGAGACGAGAGAGAGACGAGAGAGAGACGAGAGAGAGACGAGAGAGAGACGAGAGAGAGACGAGAGAGAGACGAGCGAGAGACGAGAGAGAGACGAGAGACGAGAGGGAGACGAGAGAGACGAGAGGGAGACGAGAGACGAGAGGGAGACCGAGAGGGAGACGAGAGAGGGAGACGAGAGAGAGACGAGAGAGGGAGACGAGAGGGAGACGAGAGAGGGAGACGAGAGGGAGAACGAGAGACGAGAGAGAGAGGGAGACGAGAGGGAGACGAGAGAGAGACGAGAGAGAGACGAGAGAGAGACGAGAGAGAGACGAGAGAGGGAGACGAGAGACGAGAGAGGGAGACGAGGAGAGGGAGACGAGAGAGGGGAGACGAGAGGGAGACGGGAGAGGGAGACGAGAGAGAGAGAGAGACGAGAGAGAGAGGGAGACGAGAGGGAGACGAGAGGGAGACGAGAGAGAGACGAGAGAGAGACGAGAGAGAGACGAGAGAGAGACGAGAGAGGGAGACGAGGGAGACGAGAGAGAGACGAGAGAGAGACGAGAGAGACGAGAGAGACGAGAGAGAGACGAGAGAGAGACGAGAGAGAGAGGGAGACGAGAGAGGGAGACTAGAGAGAGACGAGAGAGAGACGAGAGAGGGAGACTAGAGAGAGACGAGAGAGAGAGACCAGAGAGAGAGGGAGACGAGAGAGGGAGACTAGAGAGAGAGAGAGAGACAACAGAGAGAGAGACCAGAGAGACTAGAAAGAGGGTTGAGAGAGAAATGTGAGGGAGACCAGAAAGAACGACCAAAGACAGAGACTAGAACGAGAGGGAGAGACCAGAGCGAGAGAGAGACCAGAGAGAGTGAGAAACCAGAGTGACCATAGGGAGAGAGAGCTGCCGTCGCCTCCTAAAAATGACTCCAAATGCATTTCTCTGCGATCATCATCATGTGTAGAACCCTGGTTTGGGTGTCTGTGTTTTCCGACAGGTTGTTGATGGTTTGCCAGTTTCTGGTGCTGAAATAGATCTGGTGACTGGGAAAGACCGACTTCCCTCCCGCTCTGAGCGAACACTAGCATTACGTCATGTGGACTCTGGTAACCTCCGCACCAGGGATCAAAACATGCAGAGTTTAAGAAGTTTCTGGGTCTTTACTTTGCGACGGCTGCAGCTGATTGGACCCTGGAATATTTATGACACATTAATACGTTATCAACACCAAAGTCAGACCAGGAAGAGACCAGGAAGAGAGAGACCAGAGAGAGAGAGGGACCAGAGAGGGACCAGAGAGGGACCAGAGAGGGACCAGAGAGGGACCAGAGAGGGACCAGAGAGGGACCAGAGAGGGACCAGAGAGGGACCAGAGAGGGACCAGAGAGGGACCAGAGAGGGACCAGAGAGGGACCAGAGAGGGACCAGAGAGGGACCAGAGAGGGACCAGAGAGGGACCAGAGAGGGACCAGAGAGGGACCAGAGAGGGACCAGAGAGGGACCAGAGAGGGACCAGAGGGACCAGAGAGACCAGAGAGGGAGAGACCAGAGAGGGAGAGACCAGAGAGGGAGAGACCAGAGAGGGAGAGAGACCAGAGAGAGAGAGAGACCAGAGAGAGAGAGAGACCAGAGAGAGAGAGAGACCAGAGAGAGAGAGAGACCAGAGAGAGAGTGACCAGAGACGGACCTTAAATGGTTTGTACGTGGAAGCTTAATGCTAACCCGTTAGCTCAAAAAAGCCCAATAGAGAAGTGCTCATGGTGAAGTTTGGTTCCAACACTCTGGTTAGTTTTGGGCTTAAATCTGTGGTTTCTCTCTCTCTATCTCTCTCTCTCAGTTCAGAACGAAACAGGAAAGAGAAGAAGAATCACAGTCCGGGAAGACTTCGTATTGATCACATTTCTGATTATTGGTGATTTTAATGCACTGTGGGTGAGGGGGTTGTAAGGTCATTTTACTTTGGGAGAGTGATGGGAGACGGGGGAGAGGGGGAGAGTGAATGAGGACGTTTTACATTATTTGAGGGATTTTATCTAATTTGGAGAAAAGGGTTTTAAAAGGTATAAAGTGCTGTTTGTGACATTTGACATTACATAAAGTATCTATTAGAGGATTAGATTTTTGTTGATCGTCCTGTTACGCTCCTTGTAAACTCAGAGTACACTAAAGACTCACTTGTTCCCTCAGACTGTGGAATGTGTGTGAAGAACATTGAACTTGAAGTCGCCTTCTTTCAAATCGGACAATGAACAACGACTGCATAGTTACCACAGCAGCAGTCACATCTGAGGACCCAGGACTGAGGCTGTAGACCCAGGACTGAGGCTGTAGACCCCAGGACTGAGGCTGTAGACCCCAGGACTGAGGCTGTAGACCCAGGACTGAGGCTGTAGACCCCAGGACTGAGGCTGTAGACCCAGGACTGAGTCTGTAGACCCCATGACTGAGGCTGTAGACCCCAGGACTGAGGCTGTAGACCCAGGACTGAGGCTGTAGACCCAGGACTCCCACTCTTCCTCTCTCCCTCTGTCTCCCTCTCTCTCTCTTCCTCTCACTCCCTCTCTCCCTCTCTCTGCTCCATCTATTATTTAAGAACCAATAAGAAGAGCCCAAATCTGCCTTTGATTTCAATAAACATCCATGTTCCTTCGCGTCACACGTTTTTGATAGAGACTTCCCTCTGGTCTGAAGGGGAAGACCAGGAGGCAACAGAGAGAGAGAGATTAGAGAGAGACCAGAGAGAGAGTCCAAAGAGAGATTTGAGAGAGACAGGAGAGATCAAAGAGAGAGTAGAGAGAGATGGAGAGACCAAAGACAAATTCTAGAGAAAGACTTAAGAGAGAAACCAAAGAGAGAGAGACACTCGGGTTCTCTCCCTCTGAGTGAGCTCTATGTTGAACTGTCACCGTGGGCGATGGAGATGACACCAAAAGTAATTACAGGATTGATTTTAGAAAAGAAAGGGCAGCACTTTATCACAAGGACAGCAGCGGCTAGCTTAGCGCGCTAACGATCGAGGACAAAAGGCTTTTAATAATTTAGACTCTGAGAAACTTGTGTTGTATCGACTGCAGATGATTCAGACTCTCATGATCCTGGTGTTTAATACCAGGGCACCAGAGAGAGAGACCAGAGAGGGAGAGACCAGAGAGGGAGAGACCAGAGAGGGAGAGACCAGAGAGAGAGAGACCAGAGAGAGAGAGACCAGAGAGAGAGACCAGAGAGAGAGAGAGAGACCAGAGAGAGAGAGAGAGAGACCAGAGAGAGACCAGAGAGGGCGAGACAAATGTATTTTTCTACATTATATGAAAACCAGTGATTTTAAATTATTTTAGAACCAGGAACTAGAGACTTGGGTTTATTACTGAGTTCAGGGGTCGTGGTCTGAAACTTGCGGACCCCAGCTTTAATAATACCAATGTGAATGTTATTTTTTGGGATTTATTTTTGTGCCTTTGAACCTGAACCTCAACCTCCAGATGAACCTCGTGAACCTCTGAAGTCTCTGGGGTCTGTCTGCAGCACAAGCTTTTAGGACAGAGGCAGGAACAGAGGGGGAGGGGGAGACAGGATGAGTGAGGAGAGAGATGAGGGAGAGGAGAGAGGAGACAAGGGGTGAAAGATGAGAGGAGAGGGAACAGGGGAGATGAGGGGGAGGAGAGGAGAGATGAAAGACGCATGATATGAGAGTGGGTGAGTGAGAGGGGAGGAGAGAGGAGTGAGGAAAGAACAGAAGAGATGGAGAGGAGGAGAGGATGAGCAAGAAGAGAGAGAAGAAAGATGAGGGGGAGGAGGAGAGAGTAAAGTAGAAATGCAAGAGGAGAGATAAAGGGGGAGGGATGATGGAGAGGGAGCAGAGAGGAGAGGATAAAGAAGGTAAGGGGAGAGACGAGGGAGGAAAGGAGAGAGCAGGGGAGAGAGGAGAGGAGAGATGAGGGAGGAAAGGAGAGAGCGGGGGAGAGAGGAGAGGAGAGACGAGGGAGGAAAGGAGAGATGAGGGAGGAAAGGAGAGAGCGGGGGAGAGAGGAGAGACGAGGGAGGACAGGAGAGAGCAGGGGAGAGAGGAGAGGAGAGACGAGGGAGGAAAGGAGAGAGCGGGGGAGAGAGGGTGAGTGAAAGAAGAGAGGAGAGACGAGGGAGGAAAGGAGAGAGCGGGGGAGAGAGGATGAGTGAAAGAAGAGAAGAGAGATGAGGGGGAGGGATGATGGAGGGGGGAGAGCAGAGAGGAGAGGAAAAAGGTGAGAGGAAAGGGGGAGAGAGGGGGGAGAGCCGTGTTCACCGGATGTGGGGGAGATAAGATCGATGGCTGCATTAGACCACACTCTGAACAAAAGCCACAGACGTTAAGACGTTTACAGCCGTTTTATTAAGTTAGAGCTCAGGAAACAGCTTTAATGTGTTTAAAGCTCAGGTCTGTAACTTTAGTCTCATCAATAACACATGTTTAAAGCTCAGGTCTGTAACTTTAGTCTCATCAATAACACATGTTTAAAGCTCAGGTCTGTAACTTTAGTCTCATCAATAACACATGTTTAAAGCTGGTGTTTGGGCTGAGAGCTGATTGGCTGAGTGAGGGTGGTTCTCTTTAGACCAGCAGGAGAGACCTGAGCGAGAAACAGCAGAGAGAGAGACCTGAGCGAGAAACAGCAGAGAGAGAGACCTGAGCGAGAAACAGCAGAGAGAGAGACCTGAGCGAGAAACGGCAAAGAGAGAGACCTGAACGAGAAACAGCAGAGAGAGACCTGAACGAGAAACAGCAGAGAGAGACCTGAGCGAGAAACGGCAAAGAGAGAGACCTGAACGAGAAACAGCAGAGAGACCTGAGCGAGAAACAGCAGAGAGAGAGACCTGAGTGAGAAACGGCAGAGAGAGACCTGAACGAGAAACAGCAGAGAGACCTGAACGAGAAACAGCAGAGACCTGAGCGAGAAACAGCAGAGAGAGAGAGACCAGAGCGAGAAACGGCAGAGAGAGAGAGACCAGAGCGAGAAACGGCAGAGAGACCTGAGTGAGAAACAGCAGAGAGAGAGACCTGAGTGAGAAACGGCAGAGAGACCTGAGTGAGAAACGGCAGAGAGACCTGAGTGAGAAACGGCAGAGAGAGAGAGACCAGAGCGAGAAACGGCAGAGACCTGAGCGAGAAACAGAGAGCCCTGAGCGAGAAACAGCATAGAGAGACCTGAGCGAGAGACAGCAGAGAGAGACCTGAGTGAGAAACGGCAGAGAGAGAGACAGCAGAGAGAGAGACCTGAGTGAGAAACTGCAGAGAGAGAGACCTGAGTGAGAAAGGGCAGAGAGAGAGACCTGAGTGAGAAACGGCAGAGAGACCTGAGTGAGAAACGGCAGAGAGACCTGAGTGAGAAACGGCAGAGAGAGAGACCTGAGTGAGAAACAGCAGAGAGAGAGACCTGAGTGAGAAACAACAGAGAGACAGCAGAGAGAGACCTGAGTGAGAAACGGCAGAGAGAGAGACAGCAGAGAGAGAGACAGCAGAGAGAGAGACAGCAGAGAGAGAGAGACCTGAGCGAGAAACAGCAGAGAGACAGCAGAGAGAGACCTGAGTGAGAAACGGCAGAGAGAGAGACAGCAGAGAGAGAGACAGCAGAGAGAGAGACCTGAGTGAGAAACTGCAGAGAGAGAGACCTGAGTGAGAAACGGCAGAGAGAGAGACCTGAGTGAGAAACGGCAGAGAGAGAGACCTGAGTGAGAAACAACAGAGAGACAGCAGAGAGAGAGCTACTCAACACAGATATATGGATGTATTGGCTGAAGGTTCTGGGTGGACATGTGTTTCTGGATCCTGGGATCGTGTGATGTCTGTTCAAAGGTCTCGACCTGATTAAGAATCTGTTTTATCCCAGGGTTTGGTTTGGATTCAAAAGCACGCGACTGTTTGGTCTTTGATGCTGTCGCTGCTGAGGCCTTAGATGATGTCATTTACAAAACACAATTAACCCTCTCACTGCTGAGGCTGTAGACCCAGGGCTGAGGCTGTAGACCCAGGGCTGAGGCTGTAGACCCAGGACTGAGGCTTTAGACCCAGGGCTGAGGCTGTAGACCCAGGGCTGAGGCTTTAGACCCAGGGCTGAGGCTGTAGACCCAGGGCTGAGGCTGTAGACCCAGGGCTGAGGCTGTAGACCCAGGGCTGAGGCTGTAGACCCAGGGCTGAGGCTGTAGACCCAGGGCTGAGGCTGTAGACCCAGGGCTGAGGCTGTAGACCCAGGGCTGAGGCTTTAGACCCAGGGCTGAGGCTGTAGACCCAGGGCTGAGGCTGTAGACCCAGGGCTGAGGCTGTAGACCCAGGGCTGAGGCTGTAGACCCAGGGCTGAGGCTGTAGACCCAGGACGGAGGCTGTAGACCCATTATTCGTCTCTCCTTTGTGAGAGATGAATAAAGTTTTATCTTATCTTGTTAATCTAGTAAAAGTGTGATGCAGCAGGACTCTGGAGTCCAGCAAAAGCCAATTTCCTGTGGATCGAAGCTCCGTCAGAGTAAACAGTGAAAACATGAGGAGATAAGAAGCGGCTCATCCAGAAAGCAGCCCCTAGGCCCGACTCAAACCCGAAATATCAACATTTTAGTCCCAAAAACTGGACTCTTATCTGTGTTGCCTAAAAATCAGTCTGACCACTGTAGACTCTCTCTCTGGTCACTCTCTCTGGTCTCTCTCTCTGGTCTCTCTCTCTCTGGTCTCTCTCTGGTCTCTCTCTCTCTGGTCTCTCTCTGGTCTCTCATTTCTTTTTCTGATCTTTCTCTGGTTCCTTTCTGATCCCTCTCTTTGGTCTCTCTCTGGTCTCTCTCCGGTCTCTCTCTCCGGTCTCTCTCTCTGGTCTCTCTCTCTCTCTGGTCTCTCTCTCTCTCTGGTCTCTCTCTCTCTCTGGTCTCTCTCTGGTCTCTCTCTGGTCTCTCTGGTCTCTCTCTGGTCTCTCTCTGGTCTCTCTCTCCGGTCTCTCTCTCTGGTCTCTCTGGTCTCTCTCTGGTCTCTCTCCGGTCTCTCTCTCTGGTCTCTCTGGTCTCTCTCTGGTCTCTCTCTGGTCTCTCTCTCTGGTCTCTCTCCGGTCTCTCTTTGGTCTCTCTCTCCGGTCTCTCTCTGGTCTCTCTCTGGTCTCTCTCTCTGGTCTCTCTCTCTGGTCTCTCTCTCTGGTCTCTCTCTGGGTTTAAATCCAGTTCTTTGGAGTGCTGATTTTCATACAGGGTCCATTTCCACATTCACAGTGTTTCCTGCTTTTGTCTGACGCAACAAAACCACAACAAAACAAGGAAAACAGAGGATCAAATCCAGCTCACAACAACACGGATCGTATTTTGCTGAGTTTTTTTAAGAATAGTACTTTTTTACAGTGTATTTACTCTAACATGATATAACTGCTAGTATAACACTACAGTTACCTTTATTTAAATTCTCTCTCTAGTGTCTTTCTGGTCTCTCTCTCTCTGGTCTCTCTCTAGACAGTCTGGTCTCTCTCTGGTCTCTTTAGTTTGTTTCTCTCTGGTCTCTCTCTAGCCTCCCTCTTGTCTCCCTCTGGTCTCTCTCTTGTCTCCCTCTGGTCTCCCTCTGGTCTCTGGTTTCTCTCTGGTCTCTCTCTAGCCTTTCTCTGGTCCCTCTCTTGCCTCTCTCTTGTCTCCCTCTGGTCTCTCTCCGGTCTCTCTGGTCTCACTCAGATCCCTGTTCTCTCTCTTTTTGGCTCTCATTGGTCTCTCTTTCTCTCTCTGCCCTCTCTCACTGGCCACTCTGGTCTCGCTCTAGTCTCTTTAGCTTGTTTCTCTCTGGTCTATATCTCGTTTCGCTCTAATCCCGGTTCTCTCTCTGGTCTCTTTCTTTTGCTCTCACTGGTCTCTCTCTCTGGTCTCTTTCTACTCTCTCCCTCTGGTCTCTCTCTGGTCTCTTTCTGGTCTCTCTCTCTCTGGTCTCTCTCTGGTCTCTCTCTGGTCTCTTTCTACTCTCTCTCTCTGGTCTCTCTCTGGTCTCTTTCTTTTGCTCTCACTGGTCTCTCTCTCTGGTCTCTTTCTACTCTCTCCCTCTGGTCTCTCTCTGGTCTCTTTCTGGTCTCTCTCTCTCTGGTCTCTCTCTGGTCTCTCTCTGGTCTCTTTCTACTCTCTCTCTCTGGTCTCTCTCTGGTCTCTTTCTTTTGCTCTCACTGGTCTCTCTCTCTCTCTGGTCTCTTTCTACTCTCTCCCTCTGGTCTCTCTCTGGTCTTTATAATATATCCCCTGTGATAAACCAGGCCGGTCCCTGGTACAGCCGTGTACAGTCTATGGTCTCATTTCTGGTATTGTTCGGAGGAGTTGAAACGTTTCCATCCGTCTCGCTGCTGGTGCGTTGCTCCCGGGCACATTGGCAGAGCTGGCACCGTCGCCCATATGTCCCAGAGTTTGGCAGAGACCAGAACAACCCCCTCTGTCTGCTGTGCTAAAACAGGACTCTCCCAGTGTCCTGCCAGCTCCCAGCAGGAGTCCCACCGTGGCGGGCTGCGGACGGCGTGTTGCCGGGTAGATTAGTTAAAGAGGACTGTTCTGTCTTTCCATTTTGTCATTTTTAGATGAAATATTCTGTGTTATTTTTGACCATTAAAAAGATAATTGGACTTTTTACTTTAGAATCAGTAGAAATTCCATGGTTTGAAATAGAGCTTAAGATTGTGGCCTGAGGTTGATGGGACCCGACTGGACCGGACCGGACCGGACTGGGCCAGGCCTTCTTTTTCCAGTCTCCATCCATCCATTTTCTACCCTTTAATCCATTTCTGGGTCAGGGGGGTGGCAGTCAGAGATGCCACCCAAGTCTCATAGTCCAGTCTGGTCGGGAAAATGCAATTCCTTCCTCTGGTCTCTGATCTTACTAATGATTTTAGTAAGATGATTTTCTCTCTGGTCTCTTTCTGCTCTCTCTCTGGTCTTTTTCTGCTCTCTCTCTGGTCTCTTTCTGGTCTCTCTCTGGTCTCTTTCTGGTCTCTCTCTGGTCTCTTTTTGGTCTCTCTCTGGTCTCTCTCTGGTCTCTGTCTCTGGTCTCTCTCTGGTCACTCTCTCTGGTCTCTGTCTCTGGTCTGTCTCTGGTCTGTCTCTGGTCTGTCTCTGGTCTCTCTCTGGTCTCTCTCTGGTCTCTCTCTGGTCTCTCTCTGGTCTCTCTCTGGTCTCTCTCTGGTCTCTCTCGTTTCTGTCTCTGGTCTCGCTGGACTTGGAGAGGTCAGAGAGCGAGAGAGGCAAGAGGGAGACCAGAGGGAGACCAGAGGGAGACCAGAGGGAGACCAGAGGGAGACCAGAGGGAGACCAGAAAGAGACCAGAAAGAGACCAGAAAGAGACCAGAAAGAGACCAGAAAGAGACCAGAAAGAGACCAGAAAGAGACCAGAAAGAGACCAGAAAGAGACCAGAGAGAGACCAGAGAGAGACCAGAGAGAGACCAGAGAGAGACCACAGAGAGACCAGAGAGAGACCAGAGAGAGACCAGAGAGAGACCAGAGAGAGACCAGAGAGAGACCAGAGGTTGTTGTCTAAATGTTTGACCCAAATCTCACTCTGTAGTTCTTCCACACGTTAAAGCTTCTGTTGTGGATCGTCTCCTCTTTTCTCTATTTTCCTGACGAGATCGACTCGTACAGCAGAAGGAAGCACATATGCATTTTTAATGAATCATTGTGGATTCATGAGCAGAAGACCCTGTACCCCCCTCCCCTCTGCGAGAGAGAGGAGAGAGAGACGAGAAAGACAAAGGAGGGAGAGAGATGAGGGAGAGAAGCGAGGGAGAAGGGAGCAGGGAGGGAGACGAGAGAGGGGAGACGAGAGAGGAGACGAGAGGGGAGACGAGAGAGAGGAGACGAGAGGGGAGACGAGAGAGGGGAGACGAGAGAGGGGAGACGAGAGAGGGGAGACGAGAGGGGAGACGAGAGAGGGGAGACGAGAGAGGGGAGACGAGAGAGGGGAGACGAGAGAGGGGAGACGAGAGAGGGGAGACGAGAGAGGGGAGACGAGAGAGGGGAGACGAGAGAGGGGAGACGAGAGAGGGGAGACGAGAGAGGGGAGACGAGAGAGGGGAGACGAGAGAGGGGAGACGAGAGAGGGGACGAGAGAGGGGACGAGAGAGGGGAGGAGAGAGGGGAGACGAGAGAGGGGAGACGAGAGAGGGGAGACGAGAGAGGGGAGACGAGAGAGGGGAGACCAGAAAACGTCTCTCTCCTCTGTGTTGGGATGAGACAAAAGTTAGGTACCTTAGCTTTAGTAAGTAAGTCATGTTAAGTCACGCTGGCAGTATTATCGAACTGTCACATTTTTGCACATTTTAAAAGTTGTAATAAAACACATCTTAACTTCCTGTTTGTTCTTCACAGCTTCCTGCCGAGCTGAGTAAGATGCAGCTCACAGACCACGCCCACCAGGTCACCCAGAGCCAATCAGGATGCAGTATCGCCAGCGACTCCGGCAGCAGCAGTTTATCCGACATTTACCAGGTACAAACTCTGGGGCTGTAGTACATAAACATTTACTTAGTCTTGTTTATGTACTTAAAATAAACTTGTTTAGTGTAGAACAGGTATCTCTAATCTAATCTGGATGTTTCACTGGAGCGTCTCTGCGTACAGTGGCGCCCCCTGGTGATCAGGCTACTTCTGTTCCTGCAGTGAAGTGAAGTGAAGTGAGGCAGAGACTGAGGCAGAGACTGAGGCAGAGACTGAGGCAGAGACTGAGGCAGAGACTGAGGCAGAGACTGAGGCAGAGACTGAGGCAGAGACTGAGGCAGAGACTGAGGCAGAGACTGAGGCAGAGACTGAGGCAGAGACTGAGGCAGAGACTGAGGCACTCTGGTCTCACAACACAACAGTTTTTACCTAATGTCTTGTAATGTAGACATGACAGAATGTTGCCAAAGGCTAATTTTCATCTGTTTATTAAGACCGTATGAATAGGTCCCATTGTCTTGTGCTGTTGTTGTTTCTGGCATTTCTGGTCTTCCTGGTCTTCCTCACTGAGCTGTGGTCTCTGTCCTGGTCTTCCTGGTCTTTCTCACTGAGCTGTGGTCTCTATCCTGGTCTTCCTGGTCTTTCTCACTGAGCTGTGGTCTCTATCCTGGTCTTCCTGGTCTTCCTCACTGAGCTGTGGTTTCTGTCCTGTTCTTCCTGGTCTTCCTCACTAAGCTGTGGTCTCTATCCTGGTCTTCCTGGTCTTCCTCACTGAGCTGTGGTTTCTGTCCTGTTCTTCCTGGTCTTTCTCACTGAGCTGTGGTCTCTGTCCTGGTCTTCCTGGTCTTCCTCACTGAGCTGTGGTCTCTGTCCTGGTCTTCCTGGTCTTTCTCACTGAGCTGTGGTCTCTATCCTGGTCTTCCTGGTCTTTCTCACTGAGCTGTGGTCTCTATCCTGGTCTTCCTGGTCTTCCTCACTGAGCTGTGGTTTCTGTCCTGTTCTTCCTGGTCTTTCTCACTGAGCTGTGGTTTCTGTCCTGTTCTTCCTGGTCTTCCTCACTAAGCTGTGGTCTCTATCCTGGTCTTCCTGGTCTTCCTCACTGAGCTGTGGTTTCTATCCTGGTCTTCCTGGTCTTCCTCACTGAGCTGTGGTTTCTGTCCTGTTCTTCCTGGTCTTCCTCACTAAGCTGTGGTCTCTATCCTGGTCTTCCTGGTCTTTCTCACTGAGCTGTGGTCTCTATCCTGGTCTTCCTGGTCTTCCTCACTAAGCTGTGGTCTCTATCCTGGTCTTCCTGGTCTTTCTCACTGAGCTGTGGTCTCTATCCTGGTCTTCCTGGTCTTTCTCACTGAGCTGTGGTCTCTATCCTGGTCTTCCTGGTCTTTCTCACTGAGCTGTGGTCTCTATCCTGGTCTTCCTGGTCTTCCTCACTGAGCTGTGGTTTCTGTCCTGTTCTTCCTGGTCTTCCTCACTGAGCTGTGGTTTCTGTCCTGTTCTTCCTGGTCTTCCTCACTAAGCTGTGGTCTCTATCCTGGTCTTCCTGGTCTTCCTCACTGAGCTGTGGTTTCTGTCCTGTTCTTCCTGGTCTTCCTCACTAAGCTGTGGTCTCTATCCTGTTCTTCCTGGTCTTCCTCACTGAGCTGTGGTTTCTGTCCTGTTCTTCCTGGTCTTCCTCACTAAGCTGTGGTCTCTATCCTGTTCTTCCTGGTCTTCCTCACTGAGCTGTGGTTTCTGTCCTGTTCTTCCTGGTCTTCCTCACTAAGCTGTGGTCTCTATCCTGGTCTTCCTGGTCTTCCTCACTGAGCTGTGGCCTCTATCCTGGTCTTCCTGGTCTTCCTGGTCTTCCTCACTGAGCTGTGGTCTCTGTCCTTGTGTCCAGGCCACAGAGAGCGACTTGGGGGATGTGGATCTGTCCGGTCTGCCTGAAGCAGCGGTGGACTCTGAGGAGGAAGAGGAGGAGGATGAAGACCTGGAGAGGGCCTCGGACACACTGCTGGGGAGGGACCTGGTGCGAGAGTGTCTGGAGAAGGACCCGAGGGACCGCAACGACGACGACATCGGTGAGACACGAACGCTTTGATAGAAGTCTACAGTCTTCAAACACAGGGACCTGAGACAGACTGTTGGACAATGCTAACCAGCTAGCTTAAGTGCTAGGGAGTTTGGCTCCAACACTCTGGTATCTCTTGTCTCTCTCTTGCTGGTTTCTCTCTCTGGTTTTTCTTTGGTCTTTCTCTCTTTTGTCTCTCTCTAGTAGCTGTGTCTCTTGTCTCTCTGGGTTCTTTCTCTGGTCTCTCTGGTCTCCCTCTGGTCTCTCTTTCTCGTCTCTCTCTCTCTGTGGTCTCTCTGGTCTCTCTCTCTCTGGTCTCTCTGGTCTCTCTGGTCTCTCTCCCTCTCTCTCTCTCTGATCTCTGTGGTCTCTCTCTCTCTCTCTCTCTGGTATCGCTCTCTCTGGGCTGTCTCTCTCTCTCTGATCTCTGCTCACTCACTCTCTCTCTCTCTGATATCTCTCTGGTCTCTCTCTCTCTCTCTGGTCTCTCTCTGGTCTCTCTCTCTGGGCTGTCTCTCTCTCTCTGATCTCTCTGCTCTCTCTGATATCTCTCTGGTCTCTCTCTCTCTCTCTCTGGTCTCTCTCTGGTCTCTCTCTCTGGGCTGTCTCTCTCTCTCTGATCTCTCTGCTCTCTCTGATATCTCTCTGGTCTCTCTCTTTCTCTCGCTCTCTTTCTCTCTCTCTGTCACTTGTCACTCTCAGATCTCTATTGTCTTTCTCAAGTCTCTCTTCTCTCTTTCTGGTCTTTATATAACTAGAGAGAAGCAGGTGGACCCCCTCCTGCTCTCTTTAGACAGATTAACCTGAGGGTCTTGTATTAATGATGGTGTGGGCGTGGTCCTGGTGTGCTGCTGGTGCCACACGGAGGCTCAGGTCCTCGCCGTGTGCTCTCTCTCTCACAGGTGCCCTTCTCTCTCTGTGTTTGTGAGCTGCTCATTAGTGCTCTGTGGGGTCCTGAGGGGGAGGGGCTCATCAAAGCACTGATAAAGACCAACGCACCGTGAAGTGGCATTCGAGAAGATCACTTCATTGACAAAACGCCCTCGGTCTGAAAACCTCCCAGAGATTCTGTGTTTGTTCAGAGTAATGAGAAATTAGTGAAAATACTGAGACAGAAAACTGACATTATAGACTGAATACAGATGGACAATGAAGCCGACGTGCAGAAGTCTCTCCGTATGGTTTCTCTCTCTGTAGTCTCTCTCTCTCTCTGGTCTCTCTGGTCTTTCTCTGTAGTCTCTCTCTCTCTCTGGTCTCTCCTGTAGTCTCTCTCTGGTCTTTCTCTCTGGTCTCTCTCTGGTCTCTCTCTCTGGTCTCTCCTGTAGTCTCTCTCTGGTCTTTCTCTCTGGTCTCTCTCTGGTCTCTCTCTCTGGTCTCTCCTGTAGTCTCTCTCTGGTCTTTCTCTCTGGTCTCTCTCTGGTCTCTCTCTGGTCTCTCTCTCTCTGTAGTCTCTCTCTCTCTATAGAAGTCTATGTAGTCTTCTCTCAGCAGTCTCTCTCTGGTTTCTCTCTGTAGTCTCTCTGTGGTCTCTCTCTCTGGTGTCTCTCTCTGGTCTCTCTCTGTAGTCTCTCTCTGTAGTCTCTCTCTCTGGTCTCTCCTGTAGTCTCTCTCTGGTCTCTGTAGTCTCTCTCTCTCTGGTCTCTCTCTCTGGTCTTTCTCTCTGGTCTCTCTCTAGTCTCTCTCTCTCTGGTCTCTCTCTCTCTGGTCTCTCTCTCTCTGGTCTCTCTCTCTCTGTAGTCTCTCTGGTCTCTCTCTAGTCTCTCTCTCTGGTCTCTCTCTCTGGTCTCTCTCTCTCTGTAGTCTCTCTGGTCTCTCTCTGGTTCTCTCTCTGGTCTCCCTCTGGTCTCTCTCTGGTCTCTCTCTCTGGTCTCTCTCTGGTCTCTCTCTGGTCTCTCTCTGGTCTCTCTCTGGTTCTCTCTCTGGTCTCTCTCTGGTCTCTCTCTCTGGTCTCTCTCTCTGATCATCTCTCTCTGGTCTCTCTCTGGTCTTCTCTCTGGTCTCTCTCTGGTCTCCCTCTGGTACTCTCTCTCTGGTCTCTCTCTGGTCTCTCTCTCTGGTCTCTCTCTGGGTCTCTCTCTTGGTCTCTATCTGGTCTCCCTCTGGTCTCTCTCTGGTCTCCCTTGGTCTCCCTTGGTTCACTTTGTCCCTCTCTGGTTTTCTCTTTGGTCTCTCTCCGGTCTATCTATCTGGTCTCCTCTGGTCTCCCTTGTTCTCCCTCTGATCAGGTTCTCTCTCTCTCTGGTCTCTCTCTCGGTCTCTCTCTGGACTCTCTCTCTGGTCTCTCTTTCTGGTCTCTCTCTGGGTCTCTCTCTCTGGTCTCTCTCTGGTCTCTCTCTGGTCTCTCTCTAGTCTCTCTCTAGTTTCTCTCTAGTCTCTCTCTGGTCTCTCTCTGGTCTTCTCTCTGGTCTCTCTCTGGTCTCTCTCTGGTCTCTCTCTGGTCTCTCTATGGTCTCTCTCTGGTCTCTCTCTCTGGTTCTCTCTCTGGTTCTCTCTCTGGTCTCTCTCTGGGTCTCTCTCTTGGTCTCTCTATGGTCTCTCTCTGTTCTCTCTCTGGTCTCTCTCTGGTCTCTCTCTGGTCTCTCTCTCTGGTTCCTTCTCTATGGTCTTCTCTCTGGGTCTCTCTCTGGTCTCTCTCTCTCTCTCTGGTCTCTCTCTGGTCTCTCTCTGGTCTCTCTCTGTCTCTCTCTGGTCTCTCTCTGGTCTCTCTCTGGTCTCTCTCTCTGGTCTCTCTCTGGTCTCTCTCTGGTCTCTCTCTGGTCTCTCTCTGGCTCTCTCTGGTCTCTCTCTGGTCTCTCTCTGGTCTCTCTCTGGTCTCTCTGGTCTCTCTCTGGTCTCTCTCTGGTCTCTCTCTGGTCCTCTCTCTGGTCTCTCTCTGGTCTCTCTCTGGTCTCTCTCTGGTCTCTCTCTGGTCTTTTGGTCTCTCTCAGCTTTTTAAACTTCTCAAAGATATCCAAATATCTAAATATCTACTATTGTTTTTGTGCTATACACAAATACATCAAAATGCTTTTAAATCTCTGTTGGTTGTAATCTATCTCATTGATCTAGGCATTAATCTAGGCTACACTCATATGAACTTTATCTACTTTTGAAGCAAAGGTTTGTGAAATGGTCCCTTTACCATTTGATATTAGCACTGGCTACAAATAATCTCTATTTTTGAAAGAATCTATGGTTGATGTCTCTATTTCTACACTATTGTGACTCTAAAGCTCGGTTGCAGCTTGAGCCAAGGCATATTTCTAGTTTGTGACTTCTGTCACTTTTCAAATGGCTGTAACATAATTCTGATTCTAATATATTTTAGCTGCTCTATCAAAAGGATAACATTGTATGGTACTATTTTAACTCTTACGTGGAAATATGTTTATGAACAACAAAGGAAGGACAATTCTATTCTATTTTACTACTATTTAACATCTACTAAAACGCTACAATACTCATACTTTATCATTTTAAAACATTTTAACTGTTGCTCAAGCTCTCCCCAGACAAAAAAGTCAAAGTTTTTTGTCTGTCAAATGTCTGAATACTTAACATGTATATTGCATTTTGGTCACAGTTGTGGTTCTGGTTGTAGCAATAGCATCGGCAATAGATGATTTTCATTGGCTGGTTCTTGTTCGCTGCAAATGTCTGTGTCCAATCGATCATCAGATGTCCAGAAGCTAGGGAAAGAATCACAACAATGTATGATTTTAAAATACAAAAGAAAGATCCTCAATCCATGAGTATCGTCTCTCATCGAGAGATGTAGCACTCATCAATGTAGGGAGATTTTAAGAGAAGGGCAGGAAGCACGGGGGAAAAACGGGAGCGAGAGGCGTAAATGGCGCGCGATAGGGAGGGGGATGGTCCCAGGAACACGCACTACAATAAACCAGGCCCCTGCTGCGCCCAACGCACACACGCCCTGCGGTTTCGATTGGTCTGTGCCTTGGTCACCTTGCCTCCTACCCCCCCCCCCTTGTACCCCGTGACGTACCCACGTCCTCTTGTCCCCTTTTTTACTCGTTATGTCCCGCTTAACCCCCTCCGCCTCCTTGGGGTTTGTGGGCGTCGGCCCTGACATTGGGTAACTCCCTTAGTCCCCATGCCCCCCCTCTTTTGCCTGGCCGGACCGCTACCCCCCTTGTTACTGCGTACCGTGACTCGCACTCTTCTTCCCCCGGCCTATTCTGCTCCTCCCGTTGCGCCTTTTACTCTTTTTGGTCGTGCCGCTCCCGTCTATGATATCTACCTCAATTTCGCTTTTTGGTTCGTTGCGTGACACTCCTCCACTCCCCACATGCACGGTCTGACGCTACCCTTTTCCCTTCCGCTATTCGGTCTCTCATTGTTGACATACTATTCTCACTCTCCTCCTCTCCGCTTGTCCCTCCCGCGCCACCGGGGCCCTCTGCTCCCCCCGGTTACCCATAGGCCTCCTCTTTTTACTCTCGTCCCTCGTTGCCTCTGCCTCCTGTCCGCGTTGTGCGTGTTCGTGCCCCGTTCTCCCGCTACTTCCTGCTACTCCCGCTCCTCTCCTCCTCGCTGATCCCTGCGCCCCATTCCCCTCGGCGCAACGCGACTTGCCGGGCTCGCTCCGCCCCCTACCACTTTGCTGGCTTTGGTGGGTGCTTATTCTTTAACCTCCAGTTTGTTGGGAGCGCGCGCTCATGACTCACCACTGCGTCGTCGGCAGCATTTCCCATCCGGGTCCCTCCTTCTCCCTCTGTACTCATGTCTCCTCTTCGCCTCTGCGACTTATTCTGTCTCTCACTCTCTATTAAGCTCCCACACTTCCTTCCAGCTCCACCCGCCGCACTTAATTTCCCGCGTTTCTCTGGCTCCCTCCCTGCCCCCTTTTCCTCGCTATCTCCGTGGTTTGTTTGCCTGACCCCGCGCGCCCCGCTTTCGCTCTGCGTTGTCGCCCCTTGCCGTCTACATCCGTCCCGTCTGCTGTCTTGTTGTATCTCCTGCTGTCCCCTATCTACCTGCTATCTCTACCGTTCGCCTTCGGGCTCCCTTCCTGGTCCCCTCTCATTCTGCCTCCTACGCGGGCCGGGCCCGGGGACCATCCGGTTTGGCCCGGCCTTCCTGCTCTTTCCTCTGTCCATCCCGCCGCGTTGCTTACCCGGGTCTGTGGGTATCTGGGGTGGTGTTTTTACTGGCCCGATCATCTTTCACCGCCGTCCTCCTTCGGTTTCCCCCGCTCGCGCCTGTACGCGGTGGGGGCCCGCGCCTGGCTTCCCTCTTTCCCCTCTTGGGCCTCGTACCTCCTAGTCCTTTTTTTTCTACCTTGCCCCCACTCCTTCCTGTCTCTCCCCAGCCCGTTTCTCGCCTATCGAACTCCGAGGCTGCGCGCCTCCTGTGCTTCACCTTTTACTACAGACTTACTCCATCTGTCCCCCTACCTCCCACCGCTCTATGTGGGCTCCTTCGTAGTGTGGTCTTCCGTCGCTCCTCCAGTACTGTGTTCCCTTTCTTGTCCTGTACCTGTTTTACCCTGTCGCTAGTTTTCTTCTGAGGCCCCTGCTGCTGTTCCGTTCCCTATTACTACTTTGCTGCGCCCGCCCTCCTGGTTCCGTGGCCCTTCCCACTGGCTCGCTCTCGTCATCTCCTCACTCCCTTCCACAACCTTCTCCTCTGTTGGGTGGTGAGCCCATTTTCCGTGGTCCGTCGCGCTTACTCACTGCAGCCACGGAACCCGTTGCCTTCGGGTCCCACGCTCCCCTGCTGTCCGCACCAGCACCTGCCCGACGTTGTGTTCGGCCTGCCCCACCCTGGTCCGGCGCGTTCTGCGCCGCTGTTACCAAGCCGGGCCCGGTTACTGCCCGACTCCTTTCCTCCTGGAGCCCCCCCCTACCCCGCCCCAGTGTGGCCCTGTCACCCTGTGGTACTGCGCCGGTCCCCCCCGTTTTAACCCATCCCCTTGGTTTCTCCTGTTTACATTCGTGCACCCTGGAGCTACTTTTGTGCTTTGCTTAATTTACTCTGCGTTGGCCGCCGGCCCACTTTGGTGGGTGGTTGATCCCCTCCTCACTCGTCGTGTGCTCACTGCGGCTGTGCCCTGCCACTTCTGTGTTCCTACTACCGCGCGGTTTCTCGTCTTGTTTTCCTCCCGCCTTGTGCTCACCCACGTCTGAGTGGTCACTTTCATTCGTCTCCTAACCGTGCCGCTCCTTCGTCTCCTGCTTTTGTTTCGTGTTGGCATGACTTCGTTCGTCTTTCGGACCCGTGCGCCTCGCCTTCCTCCATACCATCTCTCGGTTTGGCTTTCTGTCCTGCACCGCGACCTTGCGAATTTTCTTCACCTCTTAACGGCTCTTTATCCCCCCGCTCCCGTCGCCTGCTCTCGTGGCCTTGCCGTGCTCTTCGTCATGCCTCCTTCGTTCTGTTGGCTTACTCCAGTTGCTCCCCCCCGTGTTTTGGTGGTGGGTACCTCTGTCTGTGTGTTTTGTGGGGTCTGGCCTGGGGTACGTGGTGCGTTCCTCCCCCTCCGTCCCTGGAAACCCTCGACCTGCGCCCCACCCTATTGTCTTGGACTTGGAATACCCCCCTGCCTTCGGACATTCGCTTACGCTAGTGCTCCCCCGCGTAGTTTGCTCGGTCCCTCGACACGTCGCCCCCGTCTTCGCTCATAGTTACCGTACCCGCTGCGTCTGCTGTGTCTCCTCCCCTTGCCCCGCGTTATGGTTACTGTCTAACCCGCGTTGTGTTGTGGTGTGGTTGCCCCGGACCAACGCGAATTACCCGCAATCCTTTGCTGTCGCATTTTGGTTCCGTCACTACCCCTTGTTAGCCTTCCCCTTCACCTGCCGCCGCACCGGGGGCCGTGGCTTCACTCCCATCGTCCGCTTCTCTGCTCGCCCCTAACTTACCGCGTGGTCCTTCCGCCTTCGTCGTCATCGCCTGGTCTTCTTGCAGGTTTCTTATATAGTTCAGCCTTCCCTGTGTGGTACTTTCCCCCTTGATCCTCCGCGTGACTGTTGGACTCCCCCTCACTCCACGATGGGCTCTTACGCATAGCGGGCGACTTTGTTGTTCCTACCCCATTCGGCACTCTGTCGGTTGACCGTCTCCTCTGCTTCGCGCGGCGTGTTCGGTCTCCCCCCTTCACTCCCGCTCGACCCCGCTCTGCCCGGCACTCTCCGCGTTCGTGCTAAACGTGTTGTTGGTACGCCGCTCACCCCCTCCACGCGCGCTACCGTTGTCTCCTGGGCGCCGGCCCGGGGTGGGTATACTGGGTTCTCCCGACGCGCAGCCTTAGGCGCTGTGCCTCACCTCTTGACGTTCTGAGGTCGGACGCCTTCCCACCTTTGGCCCTCTTCTTCTGCGGCCACTACCTCAGTCCCCCCTGCACCGGTTCGACTCGACCTATTGTCTCTTTTTCCCCTTCTCTACTGTTCCTTCCTCCCTCTCACCTCTGGGGCCATCTCGCTTCACTGTCTCGCTTTCGGCCGACTCTCGGCGTACCCGGTGTTCTTTTCCCCATCGTCCTTCTTTACAGTGCGGTTTCCCTCCTTGCTCGCCGTGGTTTCTCCCAGCCGCCTTGCCGGCCCGTGATTCTTCGCACCAAACGCTGACCGCAGTTCGCCCGGATGTGCGACCTGCACTATGCCCTCCCTATTTGCCGATCGATGTTGAAACGGTTCGTGACACTGCGTCGCTTTCCACCTCGCGATGACGCTCTGCTTCTGCCCCCCTTACTTGCTGCCTGCCCCCCCCGCGATGCTTTGGCGGCAAGCCCCATCTCCCTGTACGTCCCGGCTGCCACCGTGCCGTCGCGCCCCCGTCCCCTTCGCTAGGCGGCTCCGACGCCCCCGATTGGTGCGTCCTGAGGCGCGACCCCTCCCCTGTCGAACGTACGTTCGGGGGGGTGCAGCGACCGGTGTCCTCCGCTGCATGATGCATCGGTGCCGGCCACCCCGCCGTGGGTTCCATCTCTGCCTGCCAGACTCATGGTCCCTCGGCTTAACGCTATACCCCCCCTCCCTGCTTTTTAGTAGGGGGCTCGCCCAGCAGCCACATCTGCGCACGACTAGGTTGCGATTACTTAAGACTCTTCCCTGCCCCGATTCACCCCCTTGTTCCTACGATGGTGCGTGTCTCCTCTTCTTGACTCTTTCGTGTTGCGTTTATTCCTCGCTTCGTGTTCGGTAGACTCCTCCCGACTGTCCTCCCGTCCAGATAGAAGTCACTCCACCCCCGTGGCGCCGCCTCCCTCCGACTTTTGATGTTTGGTGCACTTCGGGGTGGTGTGTGGCCTGTCAACACGTTTGCATCCCCTCCTCCGTGCTCATCTCTGGTCCCTGCTACCTCTTGTGTCACCGCTAGGCCTTCCGCCATGTTTCGCCCGGCCGGGCGACCAGACTCGGCTCTTAGTTGTCTGTGCCCCTCCCTTGGCCCCCGCTGAGTGCTTGTCCCTGCTTGTGTTACCGCGCCTGGGGGGTGGTCGCACTGGCGTCACGTTGACTCCTTCCGTCTCGGCCGTTCACGATCCCGGCGCCTATTTTTCGTCCCCTGTCGTAGCCGGTTTTGGGGTGTGTTCGGTGACGAGCCGGGAGTTCTGGTACCCATTGGGCTCCAGCGCGTCGGCCTGGGCGCATTTGCTTGGCCCTCGGCTCATCCTCAGCCACCAGTGCTCGCGTTGCGGGGGGGGGGGGGGGGGCGGGGGGTGACCTCCACTCCCATGGTTTAGGACTCACCCTAAGCACCACCGGATCTCCAGCACAGTCTATTCACTGAAGCACATCCGGTCCATTAGCGATGCACTTACATGCCCTGGTGCAGAGGTCTCCTTTCCTGTCCACTAGCTTGTCATGCAGTATTACTCTCTATGGATAGTTCACTTTGATTACATCTACTTTAAACACCATTATCAAATTACATTCTGGTAGATTCAGTCCCACCTACAAAAGCACGCGCAGTTTACTTCTCTAATTAGAGTTCTTATCCGAATGTCCACAATGTAAATACTTCACACAGTACAAAAATCCAACAAATCCAAAAGTGTCAGGAACAGAGGTCAATTAGTCCATACAATAAAGAAATTCTAATGAACATTTTCTGTCTCAAAAAATACCTGATCAAATAAAGATTCAAGTGATAGACAATTAAAAATATGTGTTTACATTGGAGTAAACTTTTAAAATGCTTTTTTCTCATGTTCTGCTTTTTCATGTATCTATATGTAAATGTGAATGTGTGTGTGTGTAGATGTATGTGTATGTATGTGGGGTGTGAATTTTGGGGTTGTGTCTCCAGACTCCTCGAACCACCTGTAGGTCTCAAAGGTCACACTGTGGTGATGTAAACCAACTGGACACACTCTCAACTGCCTCTAGGTCTCTACCTGAGGCCTCCACCATCACGTCTCCAGAAACCTCCACTTTCATGGCCCCGGTCTCACTCCCACTTACTTCTGTAGTGGGGGGAGGGGCGTAGAGGTGGCATTGTTGCCCTTTGCTCTTTGATCTGTGACCTGTGGCTGGGTGGGCTTTGGTGTCCAGTGTCCAGCAGTGACCTCTCGTACAGTGTGGCAGAGTCTGAAAAACAATCCTTGAGACGGCCAATTTAAAAACAACAGATATTGTGAATGAGATTGTTTTTCTCCCTAAAGTCAAAACAATTTTGGAGCGCTCTTGGCTTTCCAAGCGCTATGTAAATAAAGATTACTTATTATCTTACTAATGATGACATTTTAAGACCAGAAACTCTCTTAATAAAAAACAAGACTCAAATCTCTTGAACCTTCAAACTTTAAAATATGTATTATGTACTTTTGTACTGTGTGTTTAATTATCTATGCGTCCTTGGGTTTCTTGAAAGACGCCATGAAATGAAATTATTTTGGAAAACATTAAAACATAACCTGAAATCAAACAAAAAATTTAACTCCAGCTAAACTGGATTCGGTTCAATAAATAAAACTCAATTGTGCGTTGGAGCTGCCTCCTGTCTCTGGGCAGCAGGAGCAGCAGGAGGAAGGTCAGGCGTGTAGTCAAAACAAAAACGTCACCGCTTGCAATGGGTGAATTGGGTAGTTTAACTTAATAATACTTTTACAGCCTAATTCCCTCTTTCTTTTTAGACGAAGTCTATAATCAATAATCACTTTTAACACAGATTCTAATTTAAATGTTTGAAAAACGGCTTTTGTAACTAAAATAAAAACATAAAAACAAACACAACTCACAAACAGTTAAGAAATAAGCAGCAGATTTAAAAGAATGGAATCTAGAAATATGTTAGGTCTAAAAATAATTGCACAGCTTTTAGCACTAATATTTGGGTTTCAAAAAACATATAATATTCAAAACTTATTCACTAATGGTGTTTAAAAACGTTTAACTGTGTCATAACACAATGTTCAATTGCAAATTTAGCAAATTTAACGGAATAACAACTATGAAAAGCCAGAAATCCTAAAAGCAGGTTTGCTCTGATTCAGAGCCAGAGCAGCGGAGGAGGGGGCCGTTTCCCTGACAACGGCAGCAAGATAGAGCACACACAGGCAGAAAGTAGTGTTTTAGCAAAAATGCAAAAACAGAAAGAAAAATAACTTTCAAGATTACTTTGCAAATATAACTTGTAGTTTATACTTTTGTCATCCAAGTCTAGAAGTGATCACTTTCAACACTTGTAACAAAAGGCACTCTTGTCTTTAACGTTTACGCTTCTATTTTATTGAGGTAGCAAACTAGTTTAAACTCAAAATCTTTCTAAAAAACAAAACAACTGTTGGATACAACCCTCTCATAGCTTAACTGTAGATAAAACTCTGCAAAAAATGTAAATAACTCACGAAAGCTCTCATAGCTCAACTTTAGATAAAACTCTGCATTCTCCGGTGAACTCTGTTCACTCCAAAAAACAAAAACTCCCTTTTTCTGTATGTAATTTAAACCGTGATCACTGAAATATGGTTGCTTCTTTACTTTTGTCATTTATCATCCTGAAATTCGTCAATTTCAAAGCTTTTGTAACAAAGGCCTCTTTAACACATTTCCCTTTTTATTGCTTTTATTATTACACCATGGTTTCACTAAGGATCCTTCTCTATCTTTTCTCAAAGGGACTCTAACCCCGAAAACGTTTTCTCAAAGGGACTCTAACCCTGAAGCTTCTTCTCAAAGGGACTCTAACCCTGAGACTTTTTCTCTAACCCCGAAAACGTTTTCTCAAAGGGACTCTAACCCTGAAGCTTCTTCTCAAAGGGACTCTAACCCCGAGACTTTTTCTCAAAGGGACTCTAACCCCGAGACTTTTCCTCAAAGGGACTCTAACCCCGAGACTTCTTCTCAAAGGGACTCTAACCCCGAGACTTCTTCTCAAAGGGACTCTAACCCCGAGACTTCTTCTCAAAGGGACTCTAACCCCGAGACTTTTCCTCAAAGGGACTCTAACCCCGAGACTTTTCCTCAAAGGGACTCTAACCCCGAGACTTTTCCTCAAAGGGACTCTAACCCCGAGACTTCTTCTCAAAGGGACTCTAACCCCGAGACTTCTTCTCAAAGGGACTCTAACCCCGAGACTTCTTCTCAAATACAATTTAGAGAGTTTGACAGACCCCAAAAACAGACCAAAATTTAGCTAGTATCCAATTATACAGACTTTACATATAAAAAGGTGTCTGCTTACCTTATTCTTGTCAAACAGGTACCAAGGACTGTCCGAGAGGTCTGCCAACCTCTTTTCCGCGTCGGAATATTCAATTTAAAAAACAAAAGTGACAGAAGCGACAAGAAGCATCCAGGAACAGCTCTTCCAGCCTGCTGGAATCTCCGCTCCCAGACGCAGCATGCCGGTCTCTCACGCCGAGGAAAAGAAACAAAGCAAACTCCCTCAAAACAATCCAGAGAATGGCACACACCGAGCCGCGCATTCTCCACCAAATCTGTCAGGATTCAGCAGACAGAGACGGATCGTGGTGTGCCAAACTCTGGAAGTTTATTTACGTTTCTCTCAAGTTCCACTGGTTTACTTTGTTTCTTTCTCTCAGACAGAATAAAGGCAGTACACAGTTTATATAGTCATTGTCACGTCACACATCGAAAGACATACGTGTCACAAAGAGACAGTCACATCATAGTCATAACATGGAGTCCTTGTAGAGTCCTTGTACAGTCCTGCACGTAGGCCATATTGCTATCTAATACTAACATGACTAAGAGGAGCACAGGGACTGAGTCAGGACTAAACATGAGGAGGCAGAAAGATTTATTCAGCTAGAATCTGAAGAAGATGACAAAGTCTGGGATTGCGTCTTTCATTCAGACAGAAGACATGTTTTATTGTCGATGGTAGAGACAGCACGAACAAAGCACACACAGAATGCAAGTGTATTATACAGAGCGGAGGCATGGAGACCTCCAATCAGCAGCTGCCACGGTGCAATGTAGCTTGGCCTTCAGATAGACAAAACAAGGGAAAAGTACTGGCTTCTGCACATTGATAGAATGATGAGTTTAACTTTAACAAAAGTTGCTTCAAAGTGTTATGAAATCGCACAAATCTCTGAATTTGTGAGACAGACTTCTTCTCTGGCAATGTTCAGATCCAGGTAAAAAAAAAAGATCTGTTTCACTTCAACAACTGAAGGATTTCACTTTTTTTTATCTGCTGTAATTATTTATATTATTGTTTCTTTGCTGGAGTTTCCTTGTGTATGAACTGTGCTATACTTATAAACTTGCCTTCTTTGTGTTTCCAGAGCAGCTGCTGGAGTTCATGCACCAGCTCCCAGCCTTCGCCAACATGACCATGTCCGTGCGGCGAGAGCTCTGCGGCGTCATGGTGTTCGAGGTCGTGGAGCAGGCCGCCACGGTCATCCTGCAGGACCAGCAGGAGGTGAGACCCAGGGCTGAGGCTGTAGACCCAGGGCTGAGGCTGTAGACCCAGGGCTGAGGCTGTAGACCCAGGGCTGAGGCTGTAGAACATGTAAACATGTTGGTCAGATCGGTTAAAAATGCCAAGTCTAACAGCCACTGACCGTCATTTAGTTGCGTGTATTCTGCATGTCCAGCTACACGGAAAAATTCCCTTATCTCTGGACAGAGCTCTCGAAATCGTTGCAGGAATTTGCCTCGACTAAGCCATCTCACGTCAGTGTGCAGCAACAACTCAGAGTGGTCGCAGTCAGCCTTCTCCAGATGTGCACGAAATAACCGTCTTTGAAGAGATCTGGCGCGAATAGAACAGGCGATCTTTGTTGCAACATCCATGATCTCCTTCATGTTGAGCATTTTCGCGCATAACGCTTGTTGGTGGATTATGCAATGGTAATTTAGGAAGTCCGGGAAATCATCGTCCTGCCTGCACTTGGCAATAAATCCATTCAAGCGGCCAACCATTGCGGGAGCTCCATCCGTGGTGATAGACACCAGTTTGTACACTGGGAGCTGAGTTTTAAAGTTTTTAAATGAATTAAATATGTCCTCTCCTCGTGTCTGTTCTTTCATGTGCAGTACTGTTAATAGCTCTTCTTTTGTAGTGATATCACTAAACACCATACGAATAAAAATGCACATCTGGGCTGTGTCACTCACGTCCGTAGATTCGTCCAACTGCAGTGAGAAACACTCGCAATCTCCGATGTCCTTCCAGAGTTGCTGGGTTAAATCCTCAGCCATGGCTTCACAGCGCCGTGTAACTGTACTTCTTGACAGCTGGAGAGCTTTGATCAAAGATAATATGTCTGCCTTATTTTTAAAGTCTCGAAACAATGAATCAGCTGCTTCAACGAATGCCTCCTTTACCATCTCTCCGTCTTGGAAAGACTTTTTTTTATTAACGATGATGTGACTCACTCGGAACGATGCTTCGGTTGCAGCTTTCGCTCTTGAAGTTTGTTGTGTGAAAAATGACTGCTGTCCGGACAACTGTGATTTTAGTTCCTTCACCTTTCTCTTTCTCAGCTCGCTTTTTGGTGGGAAGTCAGTGTCGTATTTTCTATGCATAGTCCGAAAATGCCGCTCCACATTTCCCTTCTTTGGTATTGCGATGGTGGACTGGCAGATGAGGCAAACGCACTTCGAAAATGTCATCATGAAAAAATAGTCCTCCTCCCATTGCGAATGAAAGTGATAAGTTTTTGACTTCTTACTTGGTCCAGCTCCCCCGCTCATTTTTATAACCTTTCTTAGGTTTGATAGAAAACAAACAAGGGCAGAAAGTTGCAGCAAAACTAGCTTGTCAGCAAATTACCGCCACTGAGCGCCGGTGTTTGCGCGTGCGCAGTGACCTAAGTGTCAGAAAAATGACAGCCGCTGTCAGATGAAATCTTTGGGTTTTGGACACGGCTCAAGGAGACCACGAGAGACTCGAGTCGGTGATCGGTGTGAGGATTAATGTAGCAGACTGTTCGGACCCTCGGGACGAACCCCGCAGGAGAGCCGGGTTGCCGCTCACGCACGATACTGTGCGTAGGTATTTAATATACACTGGAGAGGGAGAGACTGTGCGCACTCGCCCAATGCGCTCTGCCCCGCTCTGAACTTTTGGATTACTTTCACAGTTGGAATACTTTCCCGTTCCGTTTGGATTACTTTCATTGTTTTCATTATGTTTTGGATTTGCCTTTTGAAGTACACGGACTATCACCGGAGCCACGGACTCGTCACCAGGTTTGAAGTGGGACATACGGTGGGCGCGGGGAGGACTCTGATATATTGTTTATGGTTATGTTTGTTTTTAGACTGAGTAAATGGTGTAGTCATTCGCACAGCAGATCTTTGAGTGGTTGTTTTCTTTGGTCAGCTTTAGATCAATCACAGCGTACATAAAGCGTCAATTACCTCTATTTTATTTTGTAGTGCGCGCTTCGAGGGGCTGAGTTTTACGATCTGACTGGCTGCCTGTTCATCAGTCAAAAGACGCGTTGAATGATAGGCTGGCGTCAATTTTTTTTTATGACACGCGATCTACCAATACTACCTTCGCGATCGACCGGTCGATCGCGATCGACGTATTGAGCACCCCTGCTGTAGACCCAGGACTGATGCTGTAGACCCGGGACTGATGCTGTAGACCCGGGACTGATGCTGTAGACCCGGGACTGATGCTGTAGACCCGGGACTGAGGCTGTAGACCCAGGACTGAGGCTGTAGACCCAGGACTGATGCTGTAGAACCATGACTGATGCTGTAGACCCGGGACTGATGCTATAGACCCGGGACTGATGCTGTAGACCCGGGACTGATGCTGTAGACCCGGGACTGAGGCTGTAGATCCAGGACTGACGCTGTAGACCGAGGACTGACGCTGTAGACCCAGGACTGAGGCTGTAGACCCAGGACTGAGGCTGTAGACCCAGGACTGAGGCTGTAGACCCGGGACTGAGGCTGTAGACACGGGACTGAGGCTGTAGACCCGGGACTGATGCTGTAGACCCAGGACTGATGCTGTAGACCCAGGACTGAGGCTGTTTGTGCCCCGCAGTTGGACCACTGGTATGTGATCCTGAACGGGTCTGTGGAGGTGTCTCGTGCTGAGGGTCGGGCTGAGGTGCTGTGTATGGGAAACAGCTTCGGCATCTCTCCTTCTCTCGACAAACAGTTCATGAGCGGAGACGTGCGAACCAAAGGAGACGACTGCCAGGTGAGCTGCTCTCTCTGGTTTCTCTCTGGTCTCTCTCTCTGGTCTCTCTCTCTGGTCTCTATCTGGTCTCTCTCTGGTCTCTCTCGCTGGTCTCTCCCTGATTCGTCTCTGGTCTCTCACTCTGGTCTCTCACTCTGGTGTCTCTCTCTGGTCTCTCTCTGGTCTCTCTCTGGTCTCTCCCTGGTCTCTCTCTGGTCTCTCTCTGGTCTCTCTCTGGTCTCTCTCTGGTCTCTCTCTGGTCTCTCTCTGGCCTCTCTCTGGTCACTCTCTGATCCCTCTCTGATCCCTCTTTGGTCTCTCTCTCTGGTCTCTCTCTCTGGTCTCTCTCTGGTCTCTCTCAGAAGTGCGTTTGTTGACCTGTCTTCTCTTGTGTTTCAGTTTGTGTGCGTGGCTCAGGAGGACTATTGGAGGATCCTGAACCATGTGGAGAAGAACACACACAAAGTAGAAGAAGAAGGAGAGATCGTGATGGTGAAAGAGCACCGCGAGCTGGACCGCAGCGGGACCAGGAAGGGACACATAGTCATCAAGGTGAGACACACACAGTCTATCTGGTTTCTCTCTCTGGTTTCTCTGGTCTCTCTTGCTGGTCTCTTTCACTGGTCTCTGGTCTCTTTCTGGTTTTTCCACATGGTGTGTTGTCAATGCCAGCTGTTGTCTCTCTCAGGGCACCCCTCTGCGCCTCCTCCTGCACCTCCTTCTGTTGTGTTGTTAATGCCAGCTGTTGTCTCTCTCAGGGCACCCCTCTGCGCCTCCTCCTGCACCTCCTTCTGTTGTGTTGTTAATGCCAGCTGTTGTCTCCCTCAGGGCACTCCTCTGCGCCTCCTCCTGCACCTGGTGGAGGAGCCGTCGGTGGTGGACCCCACGTACATCGAGGACTTCCTGTTGACCTACAGGACGTTCCTGTCCAGCCCCATGGAGGTGGGCTCCAGACTCCTGCACTGGTTCCAGGAGCCCGCACTGAGAGACACGGTGAGGACACACACACACACTACACCCACTACACACACACACTACACACACTGAGAGACACGGTGAGGACACACACACACTACACGCTCACACACTGAGAGACACGGTGAGGACACACACACACTACACGCTCACACACACACACTGAGAGACATGGTGAGGACACGCACTACACGCACACTACACACACACTGTACACACTGAGAGACACTGTGAGGACACACACACACTGGACACACTGAGAGACACGGTGAGGACACACACACTACACGCTCTCACACACACACACTGAGAGACATGGTGAGGACACACACTACACGCACACCACACACACACTGCACACACACTGCACACACTGAGAGACACGGTGAGGACACACACACACTGCACACACTGAGAGACACGGTGAGGACACTCTCTGGTCTCTCTCTGGTCTCTCTCTGGTCTCTCTCTCTGGTCTCTCTCTGGTCTCTCTCTGGTCTCTCTCTCTGGTCTCTCTCTGGTCTCTCTCTGGTCTCTCTCTCTGGTCTCTCACTCTGGTCTCTCTCTCTGGTCTCTCACTCTGGTCTCTCTCTGGTCTCTCTCTGGTCTCTCTCTCTGGTCTCTCTCTCTGGTCTCTCTCTCTGGTCTCTCTCTGGTCTCTCTCTGGTCTCTCTCTGGTCTCTCTCTGGTCTCTCTCTCTGGTCTCTCTCTCTGGTCTCTCTCTCTGGTCTCTCACTCTGGTCTCTCTCTGGTCTCTCTCTCTGGTCTCTCTCTCTGGTCTCTCTCTGGTCTCTCTCTCTGGTCTCTCACTCTGGTCTCTCTCTCTGGTCTCTCTCTGGTCTCTCTCTCTGGTCTCTCACTCTGGTCTCTCTCTCTGGTCTCTCACTCTGGTCTCTCTCTGGTCTCTCTCTCTGGTCTCTCTCTGGTCTCTCTCTCTGGTCTCTCTCTCTGGTCTCTCACTCTGGTCTCTCTCTGGTCTCTCTCTCTGGTCTCTCTCTCTGGTCTCTCTCTCTCTGGTCTCTCTCTCTGGTCTCTCACCTCTGGTCTCTCTCTCTGGTCTCTCTCTGGTCTCTCTCTCTGGTCTCTCACTCTGGTCTCTCTCTCTGGTCTCTCACTCTGGTCTCTCTCTGGTCTCTCTCTGGTCTCTCTCTCTGGTCTCTCTCTCTGGTCTCTCTCTCTGGTCTCTCTCTGGTCTCTCTCTCTGGTCTCTCTCTCTGGTCTCTCTCTGGTCTCTCTCTGGTCTCTCTCTGGTCTCTCTCTCACCAAACCAGAGAAAAGCTGATGTGAAACAAGTTTTATCAGTAACTGTTTTAGATCCAGGAACAAGAGACATGATAAAACCAGAAGGTTTAATGACATAGTTCCATAGTAGTTTGAAAGTTACGCACCTCAGCTTTAACCCTGTTCTCTGCGCTCTGTGGTTAAATCCAGGTCAGAGACAGAAAGTTGTTCTTTTGGGTGTTATTGGCCAAAGTTTCGTGGCCAATTATTTCTGCTCCTGCTGAGACTCTTCTGAGGCAGAAACATCAGAAAACTCTGCAGAATTGTTGTCTGGAAAGAAAGTTTTGTTTGTTATGACCTACTTCTCCCTCACTCACATGGTCTTCTCCTGGTCTCCTCCCTGTGGGACATTCCCTGAACAGCCGCTGATTGGGAGCCCTGTTCCCAATCAGCGGCTCTACTCAGAGCTCTCCGTCTCTCTCTCTCTGGTCTATTTTTCTTTCTCTCTTGTCTCTTTTGTCACTATCTCTCCTCTTTCTCTGGTCTCCCAGAGCTCCCTATGGTCTGTCTCTCTCTTGTCTCTTTGGGGTCTCTCTGGTCTCTCCCTCGCGTCTCTCTCGCTTCTCTCTTGTCCTTCTCTCGCTTCTCTCTTGTCTCTCTCTCGCTTCTCTCTTGTCTCTCTCTCGCTTCTCTCTTGTCTCTCTCTCTCGCTTCTCTCTTGTCTCTCTCTCTCGCTTCTCTCTTGTCTCTCTCTCGCTTCTCTCTTGTCTCTCTCTCTCGCTTCTCTCTTGTCTCTCTCTCTCTCGCTTCTCTCTTGTCTCTCTCTCTCTCGCTTCTCTCTTGTCTCTCTCTCTCGCTTCTCTCTTGTCTCTCTCTCGCTTCTCTCTTGTCTCTCTCTCTCGCTTCTCTCTTGTCTCTCTCTCTCGCTTCTCTCTTGTCTCTCTCTTGTCTCTCTCTCGCTTCTCTCTCGCTTCTCTCTCGCTTCTCTCTCGCCTCTCTCTTGTCTCTCTCTTGTCTCTCTCTGGTCTCTCCCTGGTTTCCGTTGCCCTGTGTATGAACTGTGCCATACAAATAAACTGTATCTCTGCTCGGTCTGCGGCACTGAGACACGGAGGCGTCTCTGGTCTCAGTAAGCTCTGACTGCAGACACTGCTCCCTACCTCTGCTGGTCCCAGTTGGCTGCAGATGGTCCCAGTGATATTAAACAGTCTCCTCATGTCTGTCTGTGTTGTTCTGGTCTTAGGTCACTAGGATCGTGCTCCTCTGGGTCAACAACCACTTCAACGACTTCGAAGGAGACTCGGCCATGACACGGTTCCTCGAGGAGTTCGAGAAACTTCTGGAGACAACGGTGAGTACCCCCTCCTCAGACTGAGAACTCCCTCCTCCCCCTCCTCAGAGTGAGAACCTCCTCCTCAGACTGAGAACTCCATCCTCCCCCTCCTCAGACTGAGAACCTCCTCAGACTGAGAACCCAATCCTAGGACTGAGAACCCCCTCCTCCCCCTCCTCAGACTGAGAACCTCCTCCTCAGACTGAGAACTCCCTCCTCAGACTGAGAACCTCCTCCTCAGACTGAGAACCCCCTCCTCAGACTGAGAACCCCCTCCTCAGACTGAGAACCTCCTCCTCAGACTGAGAACCCCCTCCTCAGACTGAGAACCTCCTCCTCAGACTGAGAACCCACTCCTCCCCCCCCTCCTCAGACTGAGAACCTCCTCCTCAGACTGAGAACCCCCTCCTCAGACTGAGAACCCCCTCCTCAGACTGAGAACCCCCTCCTCAGACTGAGAACCCCCTCCTCAGACTGAGAACCCCCTCCTCAGACTGAGAACCCCCTCCTCCCCCTCCTCAGACTGAGAACCTCCTCCTCAGACTGAGAACCCCCTCCTCAGACTGAGAACCCCCTCCTCCCCCTCCTCAGACTGAGAACCTCCTCCTCAGACTGAGAACCCCCTCCTCCCCCTCCTCAGACTGAGAACCTCCTCCTCAGACTGAGAACCCCCTCCTCAGACTGAGAACCCACTCCTCCCCCTCCTCAGACTGAGAACCTTCTCCTCAGACTGAGAACCCCCTCCTCAGACTGAGAACCCCCTCCTCCCCCTCCTCAGACTGAGAACCTCCTCCTCAGACTGAGAACCCCCTCCTCCCCCTCCTCAGACTGAGAACCTCCTCCTCAGACTGAGAACCCCCCTCCTCCTCCTCAGACTGAGAACCTCCTCCTCAGACTGAGAACCTCCTCCTCAGACTGAGAACCTCCTCCTCAGACTGAGAACCCCCTCCTCCCCCTCCTCAGACTGAGAACCTCCTCCTCAGACTGAGAACCCCCTCCTCCCCCTCCTCAGACTGAGAACCTCCTCCTCAGACTGAGAACCCCCTCCTCCCCCTTCTCAGACTGAGATGAGCCGTTTTAAAACACATTCATTACTCTGTTTTTAGGCCCTGTCCACACGAAGTCAAGCTCAGGCCTAAACGCAAAAATACTTTATCAATCCAGTGTATCGTCCATACGAGGCCGGCGTTTTGGGGGGGTGTAAACGAACATTTTTGAAAGTAGGTCCCAGAGTGGAAAGATTTCAAAACTCCGTATATGCCGCTCCGTGGTTACTGCCTCTCCGCAATGTATCTGAGACGCTTGCGTCATCGCCCCGCCTCTTGTTAAAGCACGCATGCGCCGCACTCAGAAAATAATGACAACAACAATGTTGCTTGTTGGTTTTGTAATCCAGTGTGACCCGAAGCAACAGTTCAACCTCATCGTCCGTCCATACTAACGTAGTACCAGCTCGCCCACTCGCCATGTTGTCTGTTTACAAAATTCCGCGCATGCCCACGGAAGTTTGGGCTTGATCCCGTCATTGCGTCACAGTGCCACCAACAGGTCTGGCATAGTTTCACAGCGTTTTCAGGTGTATTGACTACATTCATATGGACGCACACATTTACTGAGCTAACTCAGTGTTTACAGAAAAAGTTTCTGAAATTATAAGCGTTTTGTCTTCGTGTGGATATAGCCTCAGTCACTCTCTTTAGTCCCTCTGTCTGGTCAGTCTCTTGTGTCTTTGTCTTTAGTCTCTCTGATCTCTCTCTCATCTCACTCTTTAGACTCTCCCTTTGGTCTCTCTCTTTAGGTCTCTCTCCACTTTAGTCTCTCTCGTGTCTCTCTCTCTCTGATCTCACACTTTAGTCTCTTTGATCTCACTCTTTAGTCTCTCTCTTTTGTCCCTCTGGTCTCTCTCTTTAGTCTTTCTCTTTAGTCCCTCTGTCTGGTCGGTCTCTCTCTTTGTGGTCTCTTTAGTCTCTCTGGCCACTTTAGTCTCTCTCGTGTCTTTCTCTGGCCTCGCTCTTTAGTCTCTCTCTTTAGTCCCTCTGTCTGGTCGGTCTCTCTCTTTGTGGTCTCTAGTCTCTCTCATGCCTTTCTCTGGTCTTTCTCTTTAGTCTCTCTCGTGTCTTTCTCTGGTCTCGCTCTTTAGTCTCTCTCTTTAGTCCCTCTGTCTGGTCGGTCTCTCTCTTTGTGGTCTCTAGTCTCTCTCATGCCTTTCTCTGGTCTTTCTCTTTAGTCTCTCTCGTGTCTTTCTCTGGTCTCTCTCTTTAGTCTTTCTCCTTAGTCCCTCTGTCTGGTCGGTCTATCTCTTTGTGGTCTCTTTAGTCTCTCTGGCCACTTTAGTCTCTCTCGTGTCTTTCTCTGGTCTCTCTCTTTAGTCTCTCTCTGGTCCCTTTCTCGTGTCTCTCTAATCTCTCTCTTTAGTCTCTTTGATCTCACTCTTTAGTCTCTCTTAAGTCTCTCTCTGATCTCTGCTCTCTCTCTCTGCTCTCACTTTCCAGTCTCTCTCTAGTCCATCTCAATTCTCTTTTTATTCCCAAAATGTTGTATGAATGTTTGATGTATTCTCCTCACACATGTGTCCAGAGGATGAAGGGCCACCTGCGGCTGCTGAACATTGCGTGTGCAGCTAAAGCCAAGTGTCGTCAGGTCACGCTGCAGAAAGCGTCTCGAGAGGCGTCTCTGAACTTCAGCGTCCAGGGAGGATGTGAGCGAGGGTTCGGGATCTTTGTGGAGTCTGTGGAACCCAGCAGCAAGGCAGCCCAGGAAGGGATCAAGAGGGGGGACCAGGTGAGAGCCGGGGGACCAGGTGAGAGCCAGAGAGAGAGGCCAGAGAGAGAGAGAGCCCAGAGAGAGAGGGAGAGAGAGGTCAGAGAGAGAGAGGCCAGAGAGAGAGGCCAGAGGGAGAGAGGTCAGAGAGAGAGAGAGCCCAGAGAGCCCAGAGAGAGAGGGAGGTCAGAGAGAGAGAGAGCCCAGAGAGAGAGAGAGAAAGCCCAGAGAGAGAGAGAGAGGTCAGAGAGAGAGGTCAGAGAGATAGAGAGAGAGAGGTCAGAGAGAGAGAGAGCCCAGAGAGCCCAGAGAGAGAGAGCCCAGAGAGAGAGAGCCCAGAGAGATAGAGGTCAGAGAGAGAGAGAGCCCAGAGAGAGAGAGAGGTCAGAGAGAGAGAGAGCCCAGAGACAGAGAGAGCCCAGAGACAGAGAGAGAGGTCAGAGGGAGAGAGGCCAGAGAGAGAGAGGCCAGAGAGAGGGAGAGAGGCCAGAGAGAGAGGCCAGAGAGAGAGGCCAGAGAGAGAGGCCAGAGAGAGAGGCCAGAGAGAGAGAGAGAGGCCAGAGAGAGCGGCCAGAGAGAGAGAGAGAGGCCAGAGAGAGAGAGAGAGAGAGCGGCCAGAGAGAGAGAGAGAGAGAGCGGCCAGAGAGAGAGAGAGAGAGAGCTGCCAGAGAGAGAGAGAGAGAGAGGCCATAGAGAGCGAGAGAGGCCAGAGAGAGAGAGGCGAGGCCAGAGAGAGACTAAAGAGCAATCCAAAGAGCAGTCCTGATAGAGTTTCACAGTCTGAGGAAGTGGCTCAAAGTCAGAGGTCATTTCAGAAACAGCCTTTTCTCAGGTTCATGAAACTTCTGTTGGTCTCACGGTGAACAGAAAGGACCACAACGCGCTTCTGTGATGTGTCTGCACCGTGGGAACCTTCTTTAGTCTCTCTCTGGTCTTTCTTTGGTCTCGCTCACTGGTCTCTCTCTGGTCTCTCTCTGGTCTCTCTCTGGTCTCTCTCTGGTCTCTCTCTGGTCTCTCTCTGGTCTCAGTCTGGTCTCTCTCTGGTCTCTCTCTGGTCTCTCTCTGGTCTCAGTCTGGTCTCTCTAGTCTATCTCACTGGTCTCTCATTGGTCTCAGTCTGGTCTTTCTTTAAACATTTCTGTCACAAAACTTTGCAGTAAAGACATTTATCGGCTCCTCTTGAAATACTATTCTATAACATGAAGAATTACCTCTAAATGAGTTTAAGAAATAAATACAATAATTAAGGTTTGGCAAAAATGAAAACTGAAGTTTGTTGTTTCAGATTCTGGAAGTGAACGGTCAGAACTTTGAGAACATCTCTCTGACCAAAGCTGTGGACATCCTCAGGAACAACACCCACCTGTCCCTGACCGTCAAGACCAACATATTTGGTGAGAGAGACCAGAGAGAGAGAGACCAGAGAGAGAGAGACCAGAGAGAGAGACCAGAGAGAGAGACCAGAGAGAGAGACCAGAGAGAGAGAGACCAGAGAGAGAGACCAAAGAGAGAGACCAGAGAGAGAGACCAGAGAGAGAGACCAGAGAGAGAGAGACCAGAGAGAGAGAGACCAGAGAGAGAGACCAGAGAGAGAGACCAGAGAGAGAGACCAAAGAGAGAGACCAAAGAGAGAGACCAGAGAGAGAGACCAGAGAGAGAGACCAGAGAGAGACCAGAGAGAGAAACCAGAGAGAGACCAAAGAGAGAGAGACCAGAGAGAGACCAAAGAGAGAGACCAAAGAGAGAGACCAGAGAGAGAGACCAGAGAGAGAGACCAAAGAGAGAGAGACCAAAGAGAGAGACCAGAGAGAGAGAGACCAGAGAGAGAGACCAGAGAGAGAGACCAGAGAGAGAGACCAGAGAGAGAGACCAGAGAGAGAGACCAAAGAGAGAGACCAGAGAGAGAGAGACCAGAGAGAGAGACCAGAGAGAGAGACCAGAGAGAGAGACCAGAGAGAAGAGAGACCAGAGAGAGAGAGACCAGAGAGAGAGACTAGAGAGAGAGACCAGAGAGAGAGACCAGAGAGAGAGACCAGAGAGAGACCAGAGAGAGAGACCAGAGAGAGAGACCAAAGAGAGACCAAAGAGAGAGACCAGAGAGAGAGACCAGAGAGAGAGACCAGAGAGAGAGACCAGAGAGAGAGACCAGAGAGAGACACCAGAGAGAGAGACCAGAGAGAGAGACCAGAGAGAGACCAGAGAGAGAGACCAGAGAGAGAGACCAGAGAGAGAGACCAGAGAGAGAGACCAAAGAGAGAGACCAGAGAGAGAGACCAGAGAGAGAGACTAGAGAAAGAGAGACCAGAGAGAGAGACCAGAGAGAGAGACCAGAGAGAGAGACCAGAGAGAGAGACCAGAGAGAGAGACCAGAGAGAGACACCAGAGAGAGAGACCAGAGAGAGAGACCAGAGAGAGAGACCAGAGAGAGAGACCAGAGAGAGAGACCAAAGAGAGAGAGACCAGAGAGAGAGACCAGAGAGAGACCAGAGAGAGAGACCAGAGAGAGACCAGAGAGAGAGACCAGAGAGAGAGACCAGAGAGAGAGACCAGAGAGAGAGACCAGAGAGAGAGACCAGAGAGAGAGACCAGAGAGAGAGACCAGAGAGACCAGAGAGAGAGACCAGAGAGAGAGAGACCAGAGAGAGAGACTAGAGAGAGAGACCAAAGAGAGAGAGACCAGAGAGAGAGACCAGAGAGAGAGACCAGAGAGAGAGACCAGAGAGAGAGACCAGAGAGAGAGACCAGAGAGAGAGACCAGAGAGAGAGACCAAAGAGAGAGAGACCAAAGAGAGAGAGACCAGAGAGAGAGACCAGAGAGAGAGACCAGAGAGAGAGACCAGAGAGACGGAGACCAAAGAGACGGAGACCAGAGACAGTTAAAAAGTGTAATTTGTGTTTTCAGTGTTCAAAGAGCTGCTGAGTCGTGTGGTGCATGAGAAGAAGAACGGAGGTCCTCACATTCCCAAGATCCAGGAGAAGAAGGGAAACCGCTTCTCTATCCCTGATCTCCCCGGAGACATGGAGTTCCCCACGGACCATAAGAGCACCAGGAAAATGAAGGCCAACACGGTCACCGGAGGACGCAACAGGATACGCAAGATGCTGGAGAAGACCAGATTCAGTATTCTACCTCCCAAACCGTTCAGGTAAAGAGAGTTTAGAGAGAGGGAGAGACCAGAGAGAGAAAGAGACCAGAGAGAGAGAGACCAGAGAAAGAGAGAGAGAGAGACCAGAGAGAGAGAGCGTGAGAGACCAGAGAGAGAGGGAGCGTGAGAGACCAGAGAGAGAGAGCGTGAGAGACCAGAGAGAGAGAGCGTGAGAGACCAGAGAGAGCGTGAGAGACCAGAGAGAGCGTGAGAGACCAGAGAGAGCGTGAGAGACCAGAGAGAGCGTGAGAGACCAGAGAGAGCGTGAGAGACCAGAGAGAGCGTGAGAGACCAGAGAGAGCGTGAGAGACCAGAGAGAGCGTGAGAGACCAGAGAGAGCGTGAGAGACCAGAGAGAGCGTGAGAGACCAGAGAGAGCGTGAGAGACCAGAGAGAGCGTGAGAGACCAGAGAGAGCGTGAGAGACCAGAGAGAGCGTGAGAGACCAGAGAGAGCGTGAGAGACCAGAGAGAGCGTGAGAGACCAGAGAGAGCGTGAGAGACCAGAGAGCGTGAGAGACCAGAGAGAGCGTGAGAGACCAGAGAGAGCGTGAGAGACCAGAGAGAGCGTGAGAGACCAGAGAGAGCGTGAGAGACCAGAGAGAGAGTGAGAGTCCAGAGAGAGCGTGAGAGACCAGAAAGAGCGTGAGAGACCAGAGAGAGCGTGTGAGAGACCAGAGAGAGAGTGAGGGACCAGAGAGAGCGTGAGAGACCAGAGAGAGCGTGTGAGAGACCAAAGAGAGAGTGAGGGACCAGAGAGAGCATGAGAGACCAGAGAGAGCGTGTGTGAGACCAGAGAGAGAGAGCGTGAGAGACCAGAGAGAGAGAGCGTGAGAGACCAGAGAGAGAGAGCGTGAGAGACCAGAGAGAGAGAGCGTGAGAGACCAGAGAGAGAGAGCGTGAGAGACCAGAGAGAGAGAGCGTGAGAGACCAGAGAGAGAGAGCGTGAGAGACCAGAGAGAGAGAGCGTGAGAGACCAGAGAGAGCGTGAGAGACCAGAGAGAGAGAGCGTGAGAGACCAGAGAGAGAGAGCGTGAGAGACCAGAGAGAGAGAGCGTGAGAGACCAGAGAGAGCGTGAGAGACCAGAGAGAGCGTGAGAGACCAGAGAGACAGAGCGTGAGAGACCAGAGAGAGAGAGCGTGAGAGACCAGAGAGAGCGTGAGAGACCAGAGAGAGCGTGAGAGACCAGAGAGAGCGTGAGAGACCAGAGAGAGCGTGAGAGACCAGAGAGAGCGTGAGAGACCAGAGAGAGCGTGAGAGACCAGAGAGAGCGTGAGAGACCAGAGAGAGCGTGAGAGACCAGAGAGAGCGTGAGAGACCAGAGAGAGCGTGAGAGACCAGAGAGAGCGTGAGAGACCAGAGAGAGAGAGCGTGAGAGACCAGAGAGAGCGTGAGAGACCAGAGAGAGAGAGAGACAGAGAGGGTGAGAGACCGAGAGAGCGTGAGAGACCAGAGAGAGCGTGAGAGACCAGAGAGAGCGTGAGAGACCAGAGAGAGCGTGAGAGACCAGAGAGAGAGTGAGAGACCAGAGAGAGAGTGAGAGACCAGAGAGAGCGTGAGAGACCAGAGAGAGCGTGAGAGACCAGAAAGAGCGTGAGAGACCAGAGAGAGCGTGTGAGAGACCAGAGAGAGCGTGTGAGAGACCAAAGAGAGAGTGAGGGACCAGAGAGAGCGTGAGAGACCAGAGAGAGCGTGAGAGACCAGAGAGAGCGTGTGAGAGACCAGAGAGAGCGTGAGAGACCAGAGAGAGCGTGTGAGAGACCAGAGAGAGAGTGAGGGACCAGAGAGAGCGTGAGAGACCAGAGAGAGCGTGAGAGACCAGAGAGAGAGTGAGGGACCAGAGAGAGCGTGAGAGACCAGAGAGAGCGTGAGAGACCAGAGAGAGAGTGAGGGACCAGAGAGAGAGTGAGAGACCAGAGAGAGCGTGAGAGACCAGAGAGAGCGTGAGAGACCAGAGAGAGAGTGAGAGACCAGAGAGAGCGTGAGAGTCCAGAGAGAGCGTGAGAGTCCAGAGAGAGCGTGTGAGAGACCAAAGAGAGCGTGTGAGAGACCAGAGAGAGCGTGAGAGACCAGAGAGAGCGTGTGAGAGACCAGAGAGAGAGTGAGGGACCAGAGAGAGCGTGAGAGACCAGAGAGAGAGTGAGGGACCAGAGAGAGCGTGAGAGACCAGAGAGAGCGTGAGAGACCAGAGAGAGCGTGAGAGACCAGAGAGAGAGTGAGAGACCAGAGAGAGCGTGAGAGACCAGAGAGAGCGTGAGAGTCCAGAGAGAGCGTGAGAGACCAGAGAGAGCGTGTGAGAGACCAGAGAGAGCGTGAGAGACCAGAGAGAGCGTGTGAGAGACCAGAGAGAGAGTGAGGGACCAGAGAGAGAGTGAGGGACCAGAGAGAGAGTGAGGGACCAGAGAGGAGTTTACCTTTCAATGTCACTGCCCATCTCTACAGTCTATAGTTCGACATGATATCTCCTGGTTTCAGTCTGTGCTTTTCCTGCTTGTTTGTCTCGTTGCTGCTTCAGGGGACTCTTTGGGTAAGACCCGGTCCTTCGCCCAAACCACCAGATCATTCCAGCCATCTCCATCCCCTGTCGACCAGTTCTATACTGGCAGAGTTATCTTAGCTGCCATATCATTCTGTAGTCATTAAACATATCTATGATCATCAGAAAATCAGTAATCCTCATCATTAACACTGGATTCACTGCACTCCACTGTACTTTGTCTTGTGCCTGAATCATAGACCTTTAAAGCTGGGGGATGTAACTTTAGCCTCATAGATAACTACTGTCTAAAGCCAAAAAAACAGTGTTAGGCCTGGGCCAACCAGCTACAGCGGCTATCTTGTCTGGGTCTGTGGACACTCCCTCTCCAGAAATCCCTCTTGAAGAACTCGCACTTCGACAGCTTTACCTTGAGACCCTCTTTTTGGAGTTGGCTCGGGACAGCTTCGAGGCGGTGGTCATCATGGAGGAGGAGTAGATAACCACATCATGGAGGTACAGGAGTAGTGATTGACAGTGCTCTGAGCCAAACATCTGCTCCATTAGCCTCTGGAAAGTGCTAGGTGCATTGCATAAGCCGAATGGCGTCCGGTTAAACACAAATAGGCCAAACGATGTGCAAAAAGCTGTCTAGTATTTGTCCTTTTCGGCCATTGGGACTTGGTTATAGCCACTGGCGATGTCTTTAGTGTTAGAAAGAGCCCTGTGAGTCACTATTTGACTGGGAGCTAAAGGGAGAGACCAGAGAGAGACCAGAGGAAGTGAGAGACCAGAGGAAGTGAGAGACCAGAGAGAAAGACCAGAGGAAGTGAGAGACCAGAGAGAAAGACCAGAGGAAGTGAGAGACCAGAGAGAAAGACCAGAGGAAGTGAGAGACCAGAGAGAAAGACCAGAGGAAGTGAGAGACCAGAGAGAAAGACCAGAGGAAGTGAGAGACCAGAGAGAGAGACCGGCGAGAGAGAGAGAAACCAGAGGGAGAGGGAGAGACCAGAGAGTGTGTGATTGTCTTGGTCTCATGTCTCTGTTGTGTGTCTGTATGAGTCTCATGTGTCTGTTGTGTGTCTCATGCCTGTGTTGTGTGTCTGTGTGAGTCTCATGTGTCTGTGTGTCTCATGTCTCTGTTGTGTGTCTGTGTGTGTCTCATGTGTCTGTTGTGTGTCTCATGTTTCTGTTGTGTGTCTGTGTGTGTCTCATGTCTCTGTTGTGTGTCTGTGTGTGTCTCATGTGTCTGTTGTGTGTCTCATGTTTCTGTTGTGTGTCTGTGTGTGTCTCATGTCTCTGTTGTGTACCTGTGTGTCTCATGTCTCTGTTGTGTGTCTGTGTGTGTCTCATGTGTCTGTTGTGTGTCTCATGTTTCTGTTGTGTGTCTGTGTGTGTCTCATGTTTCTGTTGTGTGTCTGTGTGTGTCTCATGCCTGTGTTGTGTGTCTGTGTGTCTCATGTCTCTGTTGTGTCTCATGTCTCTGTTGTGTGTCTGTGTGTCTCATGTCTCTGTTGTGTGTCTGTGTCTCATGTCTCTGTTGTGTGTCTGTGTGTGTCTCATGTCTCTGTTGTGTGTCTGTGTGTGTCTCATGTCTCTGTTGTGTGTCTGTGTGTGTCTCATGTCTCTGTTGTGTGTCTGTGTGTGTATCATGCCTGTGTGGTGTGTCTGTGTGTCTCATGTCTCTGTTGTGTGTCTGTGTGTCTCATGTCTCTGTTGTGTGTCTGTGTGTCTCATGTCTCTGTTGTGTGTCTCATGTCTCTGTTGTGTGTCTGTGTGTGTATCATGCCTGTGTTGTGTGTCTGAGTCTCATGTTTCTGTTGTGTGTCTGTGTGTGTCTCATGTCTCTTGTGTGTCTGTGTGTGTCTCATGCCTGTGTTGTGTGTCTGTGTCTCATGTTTCTGTTGTGTTTCTGTGTGTGTCTCATGTCTCTGTTGTGTGTCTCATGTCTCTGTTGTGTCTCTGTTGTGTGTCTGTGTGTGTCTCATGTTTCTGTTGTGTGTCTGTGTGTCTCATGCCTGTGTTGTGTGTCTGTGTGTCTCATGTCTCTGTTGTGTGTCTGTGTGTCTCATGTCTCTGTTGTGTGTCTGTGTCTCATGTCTCTGTTGTGTGTCTGTGTCTCATGTCTCTGTTGTGTGTCTGTGTGTGTCTCATGTCTCTGTTGTGTGTCTGTGTGTGTCTCATGTCTCTGTTGTGTGTCTGTGTGTGTATCATACCTGTGTTGTGTGTCTCATGTGTCTGTGTGTCTCATGTCTCTGTGTGTCTCATGTCTCTGTTGTGTGTCTGTGTGTGTCTCATGTCTCTGTTGTGTGTCTGTGTGTGTATCATGCCTGTGTAGTGTGTCTGTGTGAGTCTCATGTGTCTGTTGTGTGTCTGTGTGTGTCTCATGTCTCTGTTGTGTCTCTGTTGTGTGTCTGTGTGTGTCTCATGTTTCTGTTGTGTGTCTGTGTGTCTCATGCCTGTGTTGTGTGTCTGTGTGTCTCATGTCTCTGTTGTGTGTCTCATGTCTCTGTTGTGTGTCTGTGTGTCTCATGTCTCTGTTGTGTGTCTGTGTCTCATGTCTCTGTTGTGTGTCTGTGTGTGTCTCATGTCTCTGTTGTGTGTCTGTGTGTGTCTCATGTCTCTGTTGTGTGTCTGTGTGTGTATCATACCTGTGTTGTGTGTCTCATGTGTCTGTGTGTCTCATGTCTCTGTGTGTCTCATGTCTCTGTTGTGTGTCTGTGTGTGTCTCATGTCTCTGTTGTGTGTCTGTGTGTGTGTATCATGCCTGTGTAGTGTGTCTGTGTGAGTCTCATGTGTCTGTTGTGTGTCTGTGTGTGTCTCATGTCTCTGTTGTGTGGATCATGTCTCTGTTGTGTGTCTGTGTGTGTCTCATGTCTCTGTTGTGTGTCTGTGTGTGTCTCATGTCTCTGTTGTGTGTCTGTGTGTGTCTCATGTCTCTGTTGTGTGTCTGTGTGTGTATCATGCCTGTGTAGTGTGTCTGTGTGAGTCTCATGTGTCTGTTGTGTGTCTGTGTGTGTCTCATGTCTCTGTTGTGTGTCTGTGTGTGTCTCATGTCTCTGTTGTGTGTCTGTGTGTGTCTCATGTCTCTGTTGTGTGTCTGTGTGTGTCTCATGTCTCTGTTGTGTGTCTGTGTGTGTCTCATGTCTCTGTTGTGTGTCTGTGTGTGTCTCATGCCTGTGTTGTGTGTCTGTTGTGTGTCTCATGTGTTTGTTGTGTGTCTGCAGTGATGGAGGTCTGGGCCAGTCCCAGGACGACAGTCTGGTTGGGACCAAACAGTGCAGACACAGTGTGGCCCTGATGCCCATCCCCGGGAACCTGTCCTCCAGCAGTCCAGACCTGTTCCAGTCCCACTCCAGTGTCCTGGACTTCTCCAACCCGGCCGGTAAGACCAGGGACCAGACCAGAGACTAGACCGGAGACCGTGGACTAATGTCTCCTAATCGTCACCTTTCTTTCTTTTCCTGCTCTCGTTAAGCGCTGGGACTGTACTGTGAGTATCAACATGTGACATCACCTTCTCTTTAGTGCAGAGACTCACACTTGGACCCAGCAGGATTCTGATTGGCTGTTGCATGTTCTTATATCAGATGTTTTATTGCACTTTTGATTTTGAATGAACTTGAAACTGCTTCAGGAAGTGAATAGCTCCTGATTGGCTCTTTACTCTGCTGTTGATAACCATGGACATGGTCCAGATTTCTGCTTTGCATTTTTATTGTCTCTGGTCTCTTTCTCTGGTCTCGCTCTGGTCTCGCTCTCTGGTCTTTCTCTCTAGTCTCTCTCTGGACTATCTCGCTCTGGTCTCTCTCTAGTCCCTCTCTAGTCCCTCTCTTGTCTCTCTCTGGTCTCTCTCTTTGGTCTCTCTCTTTGGTCTCTATCTGGGTCGCTCTGCTCTCTCTGGTCTCTTTCTCTGGTCTGTTTCTGGTCTCTCTCTCTGGTCTCTCTCCCTGGTCTCTCTCTCTGGTCCCTCTCTGGTCTCTCTCTAGTCCCTCTCTTGTCTCTCTCTCTGGTCTCTCTCTCTCTCTGTTCTCTCTCTCTCTGGTCTCTGGTCTCTCTCTGACCTCTCTCTCTGGTCTCTCTCTCTTCTCTCTCTGGTCTCTCTCTCTTCTCTCTCTCTGGTCTCTCTCTGGTCTCTCTCTGGTCTCTCTCTGGTCTCTCTCTCTGGTCTCTCTCTCTGGTCAGCTGAGGACGCGGTGATAGGAGTGTGTGGTTGAGACACTCCTCCGCACGCTAACATTGCAAATCACAGATAATGAGACAAGCAGCGTTTAGCCAAACACTCTCTCTCTCGCTCCATTCTCTCTCTCTCGCTCCATTCTCTCCTCTCTCATCCCTCTTGTTTCTCTTGTCTCTCCTCCCTATTATCTGCTGTCTCTTCTCTCCTCTCCAAGACTGAAGCTTTAGACCCAGGACTGAGGTTGTAGACCCAGGACTGAGGCTGTAGACCCAGGACTGAGGCTGTAGACCCAGGGCTGAGGCTGTAGACCCAGGACTGAGGCTGTAGACCCAGGACTGAGGCTGTAGACCCAGGACTGAGGCTGTAGACCCAGGACTGAGGCTGTAGACCCAGGGCTGAGGCTGTAGACCCAGGTTTTTGATTCACACGGAGCCTCTGAGCCTCAGGACATAGCTCTGCGTTGCTGCATGTTTGTCTCTATGCGTCTCTCACTGATTGAAAATCCAATAATCTCCGTGATCGCGGTCCATCGACTCGGTCACGGCCCAAACGTGCGCATTTACTGCCATTGATTTTGTCTCCTCCATTTTGTGTCATTGGCCTCATCTCTCACCGCAGCGATAATGCTCTTGTGCAGCACTTTTCTACACAGAGGAGGGAAATGAACCTGTTAAAGCACAGATACATGGACACATTATGACTTTATGACAGGGGTGATGTGTTTTTAAAAATAACCCACAAGAAGATTAGCATTAGCAGCTGTAAAACCCTCTCACTTTATATACCTTTCTATCCTCCTGAACTCATGACTGCTGAAGAGAGAGCAGAGAGAGAGAGCAGAGAGAGAGAGCAGCGAGAGAGAGCAGAGAGAGAGAGCAGAGAGAGAGAGCAGATAGAGAGAGAGCAGATAGAGAGAGAGCAGATAGAGAGAGAGCAGATAGAGAGAGAGCAGAGAGAGCAGAGAGAGCAGAGAGAGCAGAGAGACCAGAGACATCACACCTGGTGGTTGTTGGTCTGAGTGCTGCTGCAGCTGTCAAAAGCTGTGCATGCACTGTAAAATACAGCGGACAGAGGAGGATACAGAGGACACTGAGGCTCTAGAACCAGGACATGTACTGTACACACATCTTTCTCTCTCCTCTTCCTCTCTCTCTCCTCTCTTCTCTCTCTCCTCTTCTCTCTCTCCTCTCTCCTCTTCTCTCTCTCCTCTCTCCTCTTCTCTCTCTCCTCTCTCCTCTTTTCTCTCTCCTCTCTCCTCTTCTCTCTCTCCTTTCTCCTCTTCTCTCTCTCCTCTTCTCTCTCTCCTCTCTCCTCTTCTCTCTCTCCTCTTCTCTCTCTCCTCTCTCCTCTTCTCTCTCTCCTCTTCCTCTCTCTCTCCTCTCTTCTCGGCTCTATCTCTCTCGGACTGTCATCCGGTCATATTAATCTGCAGGTGTGGTAATGGCCGTAAACACAGCGTTATCTGTGAGGTGTGTGTGTGTGTGTGTGTGTGTGTGTGTGTGTGTGTGTGTGTGTGTGCGTCTGTTTGTGTGCGTGCCTGCATGTGTGCGTGCGTGCGGCTAATCGCTTGTAGCCTCCCTTCTCCTGTGGGGGATGTGTTAATGTCGCAGCAGCAGATCCATAATTGAACATGTTTGTCGTGAGCTGCAGTCGCTCTGAACAGCTCATCGAAGGTTTTACTTTGAAATAAGTCTTTTTGGAATCCTGCTGTGTTCCACTGAAAGAGTCTGGGGAGGGGGAAACCTGGGAACTAGTCTCAAATGTGCAGTTCATGCAAAGTGGCCCAGGAATTTACAAGAAGACCAGAGAGGGAGACCAGAGAGGGAGACCAGAGAGGGAGACCAGAGAGGGAGACCAGAGAGGGAGACCAGAGAGGGAGACCAGAGAGGGGGGGTGAAGACTTGAAGTGAATGTTCTCAGCTTTAATGATGTGTTTTATATGAACTGAAGAAACAGCCTGTAACACTGTACCCTCTCTCCCCCTCTCTCCCCCTCTCTCCCCCTCTCTCCCCCTCTCTCCCCCTCTCTCCCCCTCTCCTCCCACAGACATCCCAGACCAGGTGATCCGAGTGTTCAAAGCAGACCAACAGAGCTGCTACATCATCCTGAGCAAAGACACGACGGCGAAAGACGTGGTTTCTCACACGGTGAACGAGTTCGGGCTCCCGGCGGCTCCTGAGACCTACTCCTTGTGTGAGGTGTCTGTGAGCACCGAGGGAGTCATCAAGCAGAGGAGGCTCCCAGACCAGCTCAGCAAACTGGCCGACCGCATCCAGCTCAACGGACGGTGAGAACTCAGACAGACGCCCTCTGGTGGCAGCAACGAGAGTTACAGAAGTTTTGTGGGTCTTTCTCTCTCTCCTTTCT